CTGTGAATGGCCATACCTCTTTATGATGTTGTGGTTTTTTGACATACTGAACACATTAACCTCAGGGAGTTCTGCCTCATTCCTACATCTCCTCCTAGACACTACATATATTATGCATTCAAACCATCCAAATAACATAATTTTCTTCCTTTATTACTAAAGTGTTATTTAAAATGTACTTTAAATAAGAAAGCTACTAATAGCAACATTACTGAAAACAGTCTATAAGCTACCAGTTCATAGCAGTGGCTCTGTGTTGCTGAGTACATAAGTAAGGCAAGTTTTGTGTGGAGAGGAAATGCCTTACATCTGAACCATGAGTGCTGAACACTATATTGGTTTCCCACTCTCCAAATATGTCAGTTGGTCTATCACTTCTTACAAACCTCACTTGCAGAGTAACTCTGGGATGTATAACATGAAATGTCTTTTTGCTTTTTGTACAAAACTTCAAGTGAGATCCTCTGAATATTGAAGAAAATGGATCAACAGAACCAGTGCATAAAATAATTTCATGTAGTTACATGAGAGGTATGTTATACAATGTTTTAGCATTCTCCCAAAGCATATCACTACTATCTCTTCTCTGAGCTGCTGCAAAAGCCTGGGGAGAAAGATCATTCAGGTGCCATGTCCCATTTAATGCTTGGTCTCCCTCCTAAGACTAGGGCAATTCAGCGTCACTTGTGGTGCTTAGTTTTATGACAGGCACAGCTGTCTAGCAGTCTTCAGAACATGATCAGCTCATTTTAGAGTAGCACACTGCACAGCTCACGGGTTTTTCTTCTCCCCCCTCCCAGCGGACCTGAGCTGAATATGCCAGACTTAGAAGCAAAATGCTAACCTCATCTGAGCCACCCAGTTCTGACATCACTTTCAGGACAGTTGGCATGATAAATACATTCTTTGAATGCTCACCTTCCATAGGTATAACTTGGTGGGAACACAGAGGTTAGTTGCCTCTTCAGGAGAAGCACTTTAACCCCATGGGAAGAGCTCTGCTCAGTAACCATCACATGATGGAATTCAAAACAATTTCTATGACTGTGGTCGAGCACAGGAAAACCCTTACTGGGCCAGACCTGTAATGGATCTATTCAAATATCTTTTGTAGAAAAGCAAAACCTCTGTAACTATAAATTCATAAGAATGAAGCACATGATTTAGTATCTTTTTCAGATTAATACTAGCCTGAAAAAGCTGCCTAGTTAAACAACATTTCCACAGCCCAGATCCTATTTTAGGAGACCAGAGTAGTAGTTTCTAGAGTTTTGCTGTTTTTTTGGTTCACTGGAACAAAAAGCCAACTTGCATCTTTATGACTTACCACCAAGGTGTATGATTCAAGGGTAAATGTTTCTTCCAAATAAATATCACATTCTCCAAATATGAGTGGGAACTTTACTCACACTCATTGCAATAAAACATTTCTTATAAGAAAGAAACTTTGGGGCAAAGCATCACAAACAAGCAGGCTCTTTTTATACTGTTCTTTTAGTTGACTTACATGTTCCAAAGTAGAGTATTTTTTTCCAAGACCAAAGCAAATACAACAGGAGCAGTACAGATAAATAGATCTATTAAGCCAAACACAATTCTTCAAAAATTTGCAGTACTTACTCTAAAGACTGAATATAATTCGCTTCAGAGAAATCAGAACTCAGTCTAGACAGAGCAAACTGTCCTATTAGCTGGCTCTTAGGTGGAATACTATAAGCTCTGGCAATGACAGACTTTATTCACTGTCTTGATCACCAGCTATTTCTTCTGCAGGTAAAGACTTTAGTCATTGACCACTGTAGAAATAAAAGGCATTTAAAATTCCTGGTTGTATCAGAATGAGTAACAATAACATTCTGGTTTTACAGTTTCCATCCTCATTAACTTTTGGCATGACACAGCTAACATTACTTACCAGCAGTAAAAGCGTAATTTCAAGGGCTCCCAGGAGAAATACTTCTATACTAAGAAAAAAAAGTTTATATAGAAACCAACACTCAGCATGACTGACTTCATATTCATTCTACTACTCAGGTTTCCATCATCAATCCAAAGTTACATCTAAACAAAACAAACAAGAAAAGGTTTGGTTGAATGTGTTAACTAGTAAGCCACCACAACAGCTTCACAACTTAAGCGTGTCATGACAAACTCTCTGGAGAAAGAGTTGAACTTCACTAAATGTACACAAACCCAAGTTTGTAGGCACTTTACAAGGGGGTACTCTACTGAAAATGCAGTAGAATATTGTTGATTTTTTAAAAAAGCCCAAAAAACTTCAGTCTTCAGATACTAAGAAGGGTACCATGCCCATTCCCAGACTTAGAAATTCAATTATTTTGCCATATTTGCTAGCATTGAAATCTTTAAAAGCCATTTCCCCATCCTCCCCAAACAGAAAAGCAGAAAAACAGAAACTCTTTTAATGGAAATATGACTCCAGCTGCTGAAGACTACCCAGTAGCATTTAAAGCAGCACTTTGAGATATTTCACATATTTTCCAGTGTATTATCTGACCTATTATCCACCAAACAGCAGTCACAGAGAAAAGCTCTGGAGTAAAGGTACCAAAACCAAAAGGATAAATAGTAAAGGTGCTTATATGTTTTTATATGGCTATGAAACTTGTATTAGTGGCCCACTGAAGCGCTCTCTTAAGCCTTTAAGACCAAAACATCAGTATGAGAAGCAAGTTCAGTGTGACCAATCCAGATGAGTCTGTCTGAAGGAAATGTCTAAGTTGTAGCATTGCTTTTCAATCACAGCAATCAAAACTTTTTTGAAATACATGGTTGCTCTGATAAGACAAACAGCTCTTTCAGATATTTAGCAAATCTCTGGCTAACCAGATTTAAAATCAGTTTTAACACACTAATTGAAAAGATGTAAAGGCATGTAAAAATACAGCAGGAACTGATTCCTGGACAGATACATATATTTAATCTTCACCACCTGTACTTAAATATTGATTTTTCCTCATGATTTCTTACTCCACTTAAATTTGGTTTTGAAACAGCTGAGTTTCTGAAAACAAAACAATTTCCGCCCCCAAAATCTACAACACTATCATGTTTTAAATTTTAGGCCACATAAGTTACTAGTCTGTTGGGTTTTTTTTAACTAATTCAATCTTATACTTAAGAAGTACATGGTTTGATGAGGTCAGTATTCTTGTTCTTTGTAAAGTACCTGGCACAAGGAAGTCCTCATCCATGAACAGCTCTCCTAGTCATTACAGTCAACCATAAATTCCCTATAAACTAAAAGCCAGGCTAAGTAGTAACCTTGAGCAGCTGCAGAGGATGCTTGGATCAAACATCTTTCACCACCTGGTTCCTTAAATGCCATTGATGCATCATTTACCTAAGGCTCTCATAAAATGACCATCACTGGAATCTAAGCATCTGCCTATCACAGCACTGAAGCAGTTCAGTAGCATGGAGCACTATTTGCAGAAGAAAAAGCATTACATGAAGTGAGTGTAACACAGTAATGCTTCCATTACCCCCAAGTAGAGTATCCACATGCAAACACTGTACTACCACATGGAGTCAAAATAGGGAGCATGGACACCTGTAAACCAGAAGATGACATGTGGTGGGAGAAATCAGCAGAGAAGTCATCCAGGATAAAAGCAAGTATAACAGAGTACACGGAAGTGTGACAGAGAAATCTCTTATTCCAGAAACTGCATGTACTTAAATAAGGAAAAAAGAAAAAATGAAACCAAGAGATGAGTCAGTCATCAGTAGCATGAAACAAACCTGAACAAAATCCCAAAAACCAAGAGCAAGAACACGAAAATACCATTTGACACCCTTTTTGCAGTTCTAGATCTGCTAATATAATGGATCACAAACACTTCCACATCCCTTTTATATTAGGATTCAAACAGAATAGACATGTTAACAAAAAGCATTTAGTTGCCATATAATATGCTTGGATTGAAATGAGGTTTGCACTTTGAAAAAAAACCAAAACCAAACAGTATGAGAATATTCCCTCTCACATTTCTCCAGAAAATTTCTTCTTTAAAATGTGACAAGTAACGGGCACAGAGATTGGACCTAGAAAAGCATTCTTCTCCTCAGGATATTCTGTACAGTTTTCTGTATTTACACTGAAGCAAGTGAACAGAAGTCTAAAGAAATTAAACACTTTAGAGTGCTAAAATCAAAACATAAGCAATACAATTTTTTAATTTCAGTATTTTAAAGTACAGAAAGTGGAAACTATGAATATCAAATACAAATTTAAACAAAGCCACTTGACCTCCCCTAGAATAATCAATGTGAACTACTTATAGAAACTTACAAATTTAAAGTAAAATCAAAACAAAATAAATACTGTACATACACTTTCCCTGCCTGCAGGCAAAAGAGGATGGGAAATACTGTTATGAATTGAAAAAATGCTCTTAAAGCTGCAGCATCCCATTTCCCAGCCAAATACTTAACACAGTAGTGCGTTTCTGTAAAAAGGAAGACACACATACACCGACCCCTATTGAGCAGACAAGCTAATATTTTCAGAGACTTTAGAAGGAAAGATAGAAATTAGACTATGAGAGTAGAAAAAGGAGAGGAAAAGACAAACGGGCCAGCAAAACGTTACTACAAAACTAGTAAATATAGCCAAGAACTAGCCCCCTTTTTTTTTTTTCTTTTTTTTCTTTTTCAAATTCCATGTTTTTTTTTAAAAAAAGATTCACCAAAGCATTGGCAGCAATAAACATTTCCCAGCAGAAGTGACAATACATATCAATATAATCTCTTAAAGTGATCCCTTTCATTCCCTTCCCACAGCACGAAACTCTTATGGCTTAATTTATATTAAAAGTAGAAAAAGACTATTTTTCCAAACAGAAATGCAGCCTATGAAGAACATGCATTTCCTTATCAGTGCTACTTATATTTCCCATCCACTGCATGGTTTACTACTCATGCGCTCCCACAAAAAGGGTTACTAGGGTGGTTTTTGTTGGGTTTTTTGGGTTTACTTTTTTTGGAAAAATGGATGTTGCAGCTTTTAATCTTGTTTAACCACAAACAGTAAGGCCCTTGGTTCCATTTATATTTCTTCTGTGAAAGAGTGGCTCTGGGCTCATTCAACCCCAGAGCTACAAACAGCTTTTAATGGTCTGGAAGTATTACATGAATGAAACTCTGGAAAGACACTAGATTTGGGGGTCATGGTGGGAGTGTGAAGGCATGGTTGGGCCTGTGGAGCCTAAACAGGGCACTGGTTATAGGCTTGTAGTACCAGGTCGTTCTAACTTCAGTTCTCCTTAGTCTCCACAATTACAAAAAGGGGGTAGCAAGATTCACATCAGCTCTGACTCTGAAACCCTGCAAAAATTTTCCACATTTACAAGTTCATGGCCTTGTGAATGAAGATAGCTTATGCCATACAGCAAAGCCTAGGGAAAGCTGAAGCTTCTAAAATGTGATCATGACACTGTGCTCTCTTATATCTCTACTAAACGTAACACAAGCACTTCAATCACTAAAAAAACCAAAACCTCCCAAAACCCCCATGTAATCAGAAAGCAACAATTTTAACTCTCAACATCTAACCCTTTCAAAATTGTCTTTAAGAATGGATTCATGTAGAGTATTATAGGTTGCATAGGTAATCTACCTCAGAGGTCAACAAAGGCTACCTTGTAGCCAGGGTTTATTAGCAAGTATAGTAGGAGAAGAAAAGGGAAAGTTGCTGGAAGAGTCTTTGATATAGTTTCTAGGTGGTCTTTCCACTTTCATGTTCATTTCTTTTCTTTCAATTGCAGGAACGTGAGAACTTAGAGAATGGGAAAACCCCTATAATATTTCATTTCCTATTTTTCTGTCTACAAACAAAAGTTTTATGCCAAATCCAAGTTCTCTGACTTTTCAAAAAAGATTATCCTAGAAAACGAGTTACCATAACAGGCTTAATTCTCTTTGTTGTCCAGTCAGTGTTCCCTACTCCCTCTCTTTTCCACCCAAAGTGAGACAGCAAGGAAAAAAACAGGGCTTTTTCTCTCCACTACAACAACATGAGGTTCAGGCCATCTACAGAAAGATTGGTGCAGTAGTGTTTTCAACTAGAACACAACAAAAATATCCCTACATACAAGTACACAAAACAAGTGAGGTCACCACATCCTCTTCATGAGCTACCAGAAGACTTTTCCCCCTTTTTTCTTTTTGAATACTGCTCATTATGGCATTTTTTTAAAAAAAAATTACTTGTTCTGAGGTGGAACATCAGAACTAACTTCTGCTGGAAGCATGGATATCTGAAGAAAATGGGAATGAACCTCTGCCTGTTGACAGCCTGTGAAGAAACTATTACATAAATTCATGACAGTGGAGAGCCACTTTGAAGGGAAAAAAAAAAAAAAGATAGAAAGTAAAGAAATAATAAAACCAAGAAGAAATAATATATATGGGTCCAGCCACATTTGTGTTCCAATAGTAATATATAGATAAATAATGCGGATGGTCAAAAAAGAGTCTTTGTATAAGCCAGTCACATGTACAAGACAGCATACTTCCTATTTTAAAATTCCTTACTCCAGATTCTATTCCGGCATACATCTATTTCAGATAAGTGTTCTCAAAAATCTGCCTTTAAGGAGGGAGAGCTCAGTCTTCATTCTGCTCTGAATCCAATTGCTGCTCTAAACTCCAACTTTCTATTCTTAAAAAATTAAAGAAAACAGTTTGGTTCAATATGCTAGAGCTAAAAGAGTTTCCAAAGCCTGGTATGCATTAATCCATTTGCTCAAACTTAAGCACAGAGAATACTTATACGGGTATATTATTTTAACTAATATTGACAACATAGTTTATTTCTTTGACTTACTTTGGTGAGAAAATATTTTAACTATGTTCTAATACGCTCTTTTAACTATTTCCATCTGGAAAACATAGCACCTGAGAACAGCAAGTATTTAGAGTCACTTTCAGCACCTTTAGAGTACCTCTTAGCTTATCTTCTGCTTTTTAGAAATCCTTTGTTACCTCTATTCCCAATAGTCTAAACAAGGCTGATAACTTGAATTAATTTTTTAAAAAATAAAAGGACTGAAAACATGCTTCTGTAAAACCATATTTAGGAAAAAAAGGATAAAAAAAAATTCACCCATACGCACACACACAAAACTATAAAGTTAAGCCAATATAATGTAAAAGCAGGGCTGCAAAAAAAACCACTCAAAGTTGTAATTTTCAAGCTCCAGAGGAAATAAAGCCATCAAAGCTACCTGACTTACTTGCATTATGTTTTGATGTTTCTCAATTTAGAAACAGAGTAATATAGCACTAAATAGTCTTGACCCTGCAACAATCAAAAACACCTGACATCAGAACTCTTTCCATAAATTTGTAAAGGCATTCATAATCTAGCCTAGATAAAAATAACACTGCACAAATATTCTAGAAAGTCCAACTGAATTTGTTTTTAAACAATAACAAGAGAAAATTATTCCAGTATAGAATATGGAGAAAGGAAAAACTGCTATGGAAAGTTAAATCAATTCAATTACTTGGATAGCTATGCCTGAGTATTGTTACTCTTAGCAACCAAAAAAACCCTCAAACAACAAACAATATTGTTGTCACTAGCATATTAACGTTTACAGTTTGGCTGGACCCTGCAAAATGCCCTTTTTCCAGAGTCAAGTAAAAGTATTCCCCTTTCCGCCTTCGTCCCCATCCCTCAGAAGTTAAATATTTAATTTTATATTACAGAAAAATACAAATTTAAAATCAAAAGTATTTACAATAATTCAGAATCAGCATTTGCTACCAGCTCTGTAGGAGGCCTGACAAATGATCATTCTGATACCAGTAAGCTACTTAATGCTTATATATGCACCAGTTAAGACTTTTAATTGGCTGTCTCACCCAGCTTTGAAAGAAACACACATTCTACTGCCTTCCTGACTCTTCAGTAAAATGTGTTTAAGTATAACAGTAATATTTTAATGCTTCTTCCATGCTACGTTAAGTAATACACCAAATTTTAAGACGGCAATGTATATCTTATGAGTTATTTCAGAGTAACTGTTCTGAAGAAACATTTATCTTAACTGATGTCCCCGTTCCTCCAGAAAGATATATTACATTTCCCTCCTTTGTACCAACTCTTAAATAACCTGTACAAATACAATTACAGGGAGCCTTTTTACAGAAGTAAATCATCACAGACAGGAGGAAAAGTATGCAGTCCAATTTGGAGGAAAGGGGTGCAGTTTAAAACAAGTTAGCTACTGGACTGACACAAGAGATTCTTCTGTCTTTATGAGTCTCTTCTAGTCCATCAAATAAATAAAACTGTATTAAAGAGGACAGGTCAAAAAAATAATCAAGCTGGCAGAGAATATGCAACTTGCAAGTCAACAGAAGCCCAGCCAATAGCTTACAAAAAGCAGGAAGAAAAAAAAAAATTCCATATGCCTTAATTTAAAAAATAATTAATAATGCATCTCACCCCTATTTAAGACTATAACCTGAATATCAAATTTAAGAGTCCAGACTAATCACAATTAATGTGGCTCTCCACTGCACCAAACATACATTATCAAAACAATTAAAAACTTTCACATTCTTAAATCTAAATTAATAACCCCCACAAAAGTCTTCCAAATAAATAGGTTTTTAAAATGAATTTAAAACTTGTCAAAATCTATCAGAAATAAATTATTGATAAACCACCTTCATCATCTTCCCCTCATTAATTAGCTCAGAAACTACCAGCAACAAATGATATACAAGCCCTGATGAGAGACTACTTCTCACAGTCCATGTCTCTCTGAAGATTTCCCCATTCCCGTATGGTTATTGCTGAGCAGGTGTGGCACAGTGAAAATGCAGCATTGGGTTGGTTTGTTTTTTTTTTTTCCTTTTTTTTTTTTTTTTTTCTTTTTTTTTTTTTTTTTTTTTTTTTCTTTTCTTTCTCATCTTTGTTCATCAGGCAGTGTTTTATATGGTACATGCAAGTCTGCTTCAAGCAGAGGAATAACAGCAGCTCCAGGCTCTGTTGACCTCAATACTGGTCTGTGTAGGAAAGACAGCAGTAGTAGAAGTAGCAGCTACATTAAACAAAGAAGCGTGCATGGCCATTCCGATTCAGCTTCAAGATCTTCCCAAGTCGCTGTTTAGCAGTTGCCATTCCTTTCTTTGGACGTTTGCCTGAAAAATGAAATCAAGTACTTCAATCAGGAATTTCAGAATAAATTTTTATCATCAGAGAACAAAGATGAAACCCAGCTTTCAAGCTGAAGCAGACAAATTTTTCACCTGAATCCATTTTAAAAAGAAACCAAAACCCTAAACCTCTTCATTTATCTGTTTGAGAGCAAACAAACAGGAAATCAGAACTGTAAAAAACCCCAAGAATTGTTTTTCCTAAACTCTAGCTAGAATTATCATGAAGCAATTATATTATTTACCAATGTCCCCAGTCTAGGGAAGTGCATTGGGTATGGTAGGGAAGAACCTAAACTGAACTTTCTGAATTTTGATCAAGTTATTCACTTGAGTAAATTACAGAAAATAAACTAGAAACTAAAAACTAAATAGTATGATCACACTATTTTTTGAAGTGTCACTGCTTTTAAACCCTCACTTTTATAAAAAAGTCTGGTTCGGGCCAGTGTTTCAGAGTATAGTTGTGGTTCTGTTCCCTGTACTAAATGCGTAACAGATACACCTGAAGAGGTGCAACGGTAACTGAAAGTTTCATCTGGCCACACATCCAGTTAGAAAATCTCTCTTAATTCTGCCTCCACACATTCTGTGCCAAAATCTGAGCGTCCAACCCATACTTATTTTTCCTCAAGCTCTAAGCCTGTCCCGTTTTTCAGTTTTTGCATCTAACGGTTCTTTTTGATGTTTACAAGCTCCTTTTCCTAGGTTGGTTTTTTTTTTTCCCACTCTGGTAAGATGACAGAGATAAACATTACCTTTTGTCGCCTGGTTGCTGATAGGGGGTGGATTTGATGCTGGCCTCTTTGTTGGATGAAGTGGTACAGACAAGGATGTTTCACCATACAGCCTGTCAGGGCTAAGGCTGCCATCACTCAGCCGACATTCTCCTTGAATTAGACTGGAGTCTCGTGTATACTTGCCATGCTGAAAACTCAAGCTGTTGTTGTGGACTATACTTCTGTTTTCCTGAACCTTATGACTGACTTCTGATGCACCCTCTTTCTTGTTATATTTTTGAGTTTTACTTGTATCCTAGTATGGAAATGAGGAGAAGAAAAGTAGTGTAAGTTAATACCTCCTGGCCACAATTTCACTCTGTTTTTTCTAATTATACTACTGTATCTTTGAAAAAGATATTTCAGTTCCACCAGTGACTGACCACTTCATGATTCCATCATTTCTTTTAGTATAGATGCTTCTAAAAATAAGATACAATATAGTATCTCTGTGCAAGCTTTTCTATATGCACTTAAGGGCAACAGTACAGATTAAATACACATACTAATGTACTCCATTTCTCTACTTTTTAGTTTTAGTTTGCAGTGATCAAAACAAATGCAATTGCTCTTGATTAAACTGGCCACTACAGAAAGCCGTATCACAGCCATTGATTCAATATTCAGCTGATGAGAGAACAAACGCTGAACTGGGAATTATATAGTTAGATATTCTTACCAAAAAAAAACCCAAACAACAAAGCATGTAGTTAAAATACAGCTATTAAATAGCACTTTTATTTTGAAACTTTAACTGTTCTATTTAACTCTTTAATTGTTCTAATACTTCTAGTATAGACAAGTTTCAAAATACTGAAGTTCAGAGTGTAAGACACACAACCTTTCATTTATATATACCTTGCTGGATTCCACCTAGACATCAGAAAGCAAAAATATTCCTACCTGCTGGCTGCTGAAAGGTTGTATCAGTTTGGCAGTACCAATTTCCTAAGCAAGTAGCTTTACTATAAATACTACCAACAGGTTCCACTTGTTCTGATGCTCTAGTTGGGAATAACAATGAATAAATAATATAGTGCTTTCCTAGTTAGACTGAATGTAAATTCACACCTTTTTAATAAAGTATTTTTTGTTTTTCAAGATACTACCCTGAACATCTTAATACTAGCTACTACAACAGAATAGAGTTTGAAAGGAAAAAAACCAAAACAACAACAATGAAAAAATGTAAGTGTAATACAGAGTTGCCAGAACCAGAAGTATCTATTATCAGATATGCAGTGTGGAAAGACCTATCCCACCATGCTTTCTGTACTTACAACTTCATGATCCGTTTTTCCTATAAAAATGTGTTCAAACTGTTTAAAGTATTCTTTTACCTGAGGGGTAATCCTCGAAGCTTCATTCAGGTGTCTAGCCCATGCTGAAGTCCCCAAGTCTCCTTCCTCTTCCTTCATAGACCTACCTAAAGAGGAGTTTGACAAGCTTAAATTCTAAAATCACTAGCTAGGAATACAGAGTTAATTATACATTTGAATGACTTTAAAATTAAAACAAGAACAAATACTACAGAAAATATTTCCTAGCTATGAAATAAAAGTTGTCAGAGCTGCCTGGTTCTACACACCAAATGGGGAAAACAATCTCACAGTATAAATACACCTAATTAAAGATCCATATGACACAGTAAGGTCAAATATAATCATTCAAACTTTGAAAGTATTGATGTTGAAGACAGCTTTTTTTTGTTACACTACAGTCTTCTATCATGGCTTTGTATCATGAGGAGTTGATAGAAAGATGGACCCTTAATTTTCAGGTATTATTTCTAAGCACTGATGTGCTATTCAGGTACAACATATAGCAGATCTATGCTGATAGGCCTACAGAAGAAGTGTCCACATTGAAAACACATACTGGGAGGGGACATAGCCAAGACAGCCGACCTGAATTAGCCAAAGGAATATTCCATACCATATAATGTCATGCTTGGCCATAAAAACTGGGGGCTGGAGGGAAAGGCAGTGTTCCAAGGTAAGTCATTGCTCAGAGACTGGCTGGCCATCATGTGCTTGCAGAAGGTGGCAAATGAGTGCCTTTGCACCACCTGCTTCTTTTCTGTTTCCTTCACTTACTAAACTGTCTTTATGTCAACCCATGAATTTTCTCACTTTTGCTCTTTCTATTCTCTCCCCCATACCACAGGGTGGGGAGAGAGAACAAGTGGCTGTGTGGGTGCTTAGCTGCTGGCCCAAGTCAACCCACCACAATTTAGAAACCTAGATATTATGTTTTTCATAAAGTTACAAAGATGGAAAGGCACTGTACATGTCTGTGTGGTGTGCTGTTAGGGTTTTTATTGTTGGGTTTATTTATTTAATTTATTTGGTGGTGTTTAAGGACATACAGCTTCAATTACCAGAACAGAGTCCATGACATCACATTAGGCTTTCCTGTTATCCATGTAAACAAAAAACAACACACTATTAGCTCTCTGAATTAGCACGCTATTTGTTGGTGCGGTTCTATTTGCTTCACATCAGCAAAGCTATAATCCTCTTCCATTTCTTTCTCAAGCAAAGAATTTTCAAACATAATGACTCTCTCTCTCTCTGTTCCAATAAGTGATTTTGATTCCTTTGAGGGATTAGTGTTAGTGTTCTGTCAGTCATTCCCAAAATGCATTTAACAGATGTCTGTTTTCCAGACACCAAAATGCCACTGACGAAAAAATTGCCTCTAAATTCTCTTCAAGATTAGAATCTCCTTTAATACACTGCATTCATAGTAGAATTTCAGCAGTAAAGCCAAATATGTCTTCCAAAGACACATGAAAAATCACCAAGCAGATTCCTATGAGTATGTAACACACATGCCATGAAAGCTGCAACCATGAAAGTTCTGTCAATCATTTCTGAAGGAGACTACACTTTCAATAGGGAGACTACACTTTCAGTCTAGCCATAACTTTGCCACTCTTCTAAGGATGCCACAAAACATCTAGATGGCAGTATTTAGAAGACCTGATGACCTCAAGGTAAGTTTGTCCCAGTTTTCAGAAGTAACATTTACTTTTTATAGGAAAAAAAACCAAACCAAATAAAACAAAATCAAAGAACACCTTTTTAAATGTCAGTTTGATTTACTTAAAAACTTGACTACAAATCTAAAAACATAACTAAGTGCTCATTTCAAACACTTTGTCCAAGAGCAGAGAGCAGCAGTGTCATTAGTTCAGATACCTACCACATTCTATTGTCTTGTGGCTCTGAGATGACTGTCTGTCTTTATGCCGACTCCTGGGGTAGCTTCTGTGTTCCTGAAGAGAGGTTCTTTTATCTGTGCAGTCTGTGCTTTGAGTATGACCTGGTAAACATGTAGTATAGTGCAATCCTGCCATAGAAAGCATGCCCTGAATAGCTTCTTCTTCTGTACTTGTCGAGGTAGGACATTCCCTAGAAAAATAAAGGAGTATTAAGCAGTTTAAAAAAGAACCCGAAATTTCTCTGAAGGAATAATTTTTACATTGGCATAAAGCAGAACCATAATTATGTATGATAAGGTCTAACAGTTTATACACAAATTCCCATAATGTGCTTACTTTTTACTGGGAGTTTCATTTCTGGATGGCTTCTGGGTATTTTGATAAAGGTCTCTTGTGACCTTAGATTCCTCTTTGAAATTTGATGTTACTTCCTGTTTCTCTTCATCACCTGAGCTTTCTGACTCCTCTGTGGAGGAATCCTTCTGCTGAAATGAGAGGAAACAATATGCAGAATGGTCACCATGCCTCCTAAATAGAGATAGTACCTTAATTTATACTAAAAATTCAATAGCTTCCAGGCTCAACTTTTTTTATATTTATAGTACTCAGAACGCAGTTGGTATGAATATAGCAACCGAGATGCTATACATCCAAATTTTGTTACACTAATGCTACATGCTCCAGAAATACAGAAAGCACCTCCGAAATCCATTTTCCTACAGAAAACACTAAACACATTAAACCATGCACAAATAATTCTATTCTCTTTAAAGAGAGCATTGATTATTCTCATCTGCGATATTCATAGAGAAAAAAATATGGAAGTATGGTTCCAAGCAGCAGCCAGAACTGATGCTTATTACATATAATGGGACACATCCTGCCTCAAGTAACTGTTTCTGGTTCCTGCTCTCACAAAGATAACTTTCAGCAACAGCATCTCTCTGATGAGTGACAGAAGCTCTCAGGTAAATCCAGAACACAGCAGGAAAAGAAACCACAACAGCTGTTGCCTCTCTTACAGTGGCACAGCCTCATTTCATGAATGAAAAGGCTATTCAACTCCAGCTGAGATTACAGCTTGTACGGGCAGGAGCTTCTCAAAGGTGGAACAAACATATGTGATTCAATATGCCTTTACATGAAGCAAGGGCTATTAACAGATATGATCCACCTTGGTAATTCAGACTAATCTATTTACAAGTACAGAGAATGCCACAATTTTTTTCAAAGTCAAGGAATATACATGACATTCAATAAAAGTGTTGAAAGTGGAAGATCAGAACATGGAGGAATCATCATCCTTCAAGACTGACACCACTATTCCCATCATCAAAAACGAAACCGGAATGAATGAAATGCATCATATCACCAAAGGATGTTTTTATACAATAGCTTCATTCACAAGAGCATCTTGTTAATCTTTGACACTTGGAAAGTGACACAAATGGGCAATTAACTTAGAACTGTGACTCAATGTTAGTAATAAAGCTATTATCTTGTTTTGTTAAGATCTTCTCTGGTGCAATATAAAAACATGAAAAGGATTTACAGGATCTACTGAGATAGTTCATTGTGAATGTATCCTTACAAAAGGCAAACTTAAACACACAGAAAAATTATTCCATTAGATACTATTAGATATTAAGAAGCAGAAAAATATAGAATGAACTAAGAGAGTAAATGGCATTAATATAAAACATTTCACTCAATGACATAATCATCCAAAACTGGCTATATTCTCCTGTGAAGAAGAAATATATAACTTCTGAATAACTGTGTGTCTTCAGAAAGGAAACCTGATGAGCCAAAGTTGCTGACAACGCAGTTTAGGAAACCAGGAGAAGCCACACCATGAAGGCTATCACTTATTCCAAAATCTAGATAAGGTAATGATGGATGACAACAAATGGTAAAAATAGATCCTGACCACCATGGAAAAAGTAGGAATTTGAAGACTTCAGGTAAAGTCTTATAATAGGCTGATGACTATAACTACAACCAAAGTATTAGCTTTCCAGAAGCACAAAACTAAAGTGTGATGGAATCACTCCACCATACTAGCATTTTGCTGCTATCCAATTAAAACTGAAATTAGTAAATCAGAGCACAATTTTTCAAGGGAAAAAAAAAAAATCATAAAAATATTTGTATATACATATACACATTTCTAAACACTAAAACTCGTAGCAAAACACATGTGTAAATATACATGTATGTGTGTGTGTGCATTTATATTTCATTTAGTTATAAAGAAATCACTACAATCTAGACCCTTAAATAGAGCATTCCCATTTATTTCAAACACCTCAATAGGATTTAACCACTTCAGCTTATTTTAAAAGCTGAAGGCCTGTAAGATTGTTTCCATTTAACCATCCTCTAAAATGAAACTGTGTGGTAGACACTCGAAATTCTAATGATAAAATTTAGACTTGTTACAGAAGAAATTAACAAAGCAACTAGGTTCTAACTTTTCCGAGACTTTGCATGTTCCAGAGCAGGGTTCATCCTCTGCCAGCCCCACTTTAATGACAAAGATCATAAAATTTCGTTTAAGATACCATATCTCGTGATTTTTCTCAACACTAGAATAAATGAAGAATGAAACAGAACCATAACTAGGAGATATTAACTTGAACAAGAATTAAATACTTGGTTATTGCTCTTTTAACACAAACTTTGACCAGATAAATTTGAACTGAGTGAGCAAAATTACACCTAATTGCTTGGTTAACTTTTGTGACTTTTTCTAGATATACCTGTGTAGTGCAATCAGGCTCAGATTCTTCTGAATCAGAAATATCAGAGTACTCTGAGGATCCATTCCTGAGTTCTGATTTCACACTTTCAAAGAACACTGTGGAGAGAAAAATTAAAATATAAGACCCAACATTTATTACATGTAATATTTAGACAATTATTTTGGAAGTAAAGAACAAGAAACATCTATTTAGTTTTTAACAGTCTGTAAACAAAAGCACATCCACACACTGAACTTGTTTACAAGTCAAGTTTGCTTAAAACTCCAATGAGTTGCCTGCTGTTGACCAACAGACTCCTGAAGTGACTGACTGGATGAAGCCAGAGGAAATCACATGCATCAGGAACATGTATTTTTTCTCTCCTATAGAGCACAGACTCCACAGATTGCACATTGGGCTATTTCTGCTTTTGCATATAGGCTGGAGTCAGAGAAGTGGCTCTCAGAAAAAGTTAGACGTAATCATCAATATTACTTTATCTTAGACTCTCTGAACCTGGAATTTCTTTGTTTAAAAATAAAAGCAGTTATACAGAAACACCATTCATGAAAGTCAGAGGATATGAAGTGACTTAAGGGTAAAAATAAATAAATAAATAAATAAATTAATTAATTAATCAATCAATCAATCATTGCACTACTTGCAATTTTACTTTTTTACACCACAATTTACTGGCATATTCTGCCTGTTTTGTACTACTACAGAGATGCCAATCAAGGTTAAAATGCTGATCTATTCAAGAAGATTAAAATATTACTGCAGTGATACACAATATACTTGCACCAGTTTTTATCACAGAAAGACCTGAAAAGGAAGAGGAGGAGAGGAAATACCAACCTTAGACAAGCTTTTTGCTAGTAGTAAGATAAAGTACTAATCAGAGAATGAGGTGTCATAATAGGCTGGCATATGACATCAAAAACATGGCATATGACAAAGCAATCAATCAAATCAGCCACCTAGTCCACATGATTTACTTTAAGTGCTGAAAGAACTCATGAAGTAGCTGAGCAGCTCTCAGAAGCATGTACTCTTGAAAGACATCATTATGACCCAAACAACCACGAGTAGGAAACACATTTGAACTGCTTGGAATCCAAGGCTCAAGGCCAGTCGGCTGTACGTAAACCTCTGTTAAGGCTGCTGGCAGAAATCTTGATTAAATACAGATTTGTGAAAGACTACAATATGCAGTTTAACTAGCAGAAGTTTTTTTGAGAAAAGCCAAATAGAATTTTAAAAATTATGAACGTGTGTCAAGAAGGTAGTGGACAAAGAAAGCAACACAACTTTCTCAAGTTTCCAAGCACTTAGTTTCATATAAAACTGTACTGAAAGCAAACCAACATTTTAACTTTACTTGTCTTCATTCCAGAACTAATTTCTGATCTGTGTTTGTTCGGTTTTGGCATAGTTTTATACAGAACTAGATAAACAGAATGCTGTTCTTCATAACTCATTAATTATGCAAGCATCAAAGATGTACCCTATAGATACTGCAATTCTAGTAGGATTTTGTTCCTATTGTAGACTCTGGCAAAGCTCACATACAGGCATCAAATATATTTCAAGGGATATCATTAACTTCTAAACACTGAGTAAGTGGAAATTATTTTTAGAGTCAGAAGAAAGCTAAGAATGAGACTGACTTTCAAAAAAAATAAATAAATAACGGTTGGAACCAAAATCCAGAGAAGGTTAACTAAACAAGATACTATTAGAAAGACTGGTGAGGAATATTGAACACAATATTTGAGCAACAATACTGTATAGGAGTTAAGCTACATAATGTTCAACATATGACAATAAAATATTCTGAATTAGCATAGCTAAAAAAAAAAAAACCCAAGGGATTTCTGATAACTCAAGCCTCAGCTCATTTCAAAAAGGCAAACAAGATTCTATAATAAGCAACGGCATGCATGATACAGAAAATAAATTTGAGCTATATGACAGTATTTTCTTTGGACTACTGAATTTTTCAAAGAAAAAAACTGCTCCAAACTTAGAAAATTTAAAGGAAGAGGCAAGAACAATTAATGATATCTAAGTATGCTCACATATGGAGCTTCAGATCTTGGGCAAAACTTAATGTGTGAATAATGAACCACAATTTAAAAACAAATTAACTTCATGAAGGCCCCTCAGGAACTTTTATTCCTTCTGTCTTAAGGAACTGGAAAATCCTAATTATTACAATGACAAAACTATTAAGAGGAAATGTGAGTCTTCCCATAAGAAGGCAAAAGATTCAGCAAGACAGAAAAAAACCTGGACATGTACATAATTAACTATCTACAGCTAACATTAAGATTAGTCTCTCATACTTCAGAAGCCCTCTTGCCTTCTCATAGACATTAACTGATGATACCCTGCTAAGAGGGACAAATCTGCCTACTATCTGGTAATATGATCTAGATTGAACAGCTAAAGCCACCTAACGTGTATACTGATACATTCCTGGTTCATTTGGGGCTGGGTACTAGCATATATGACATAACACACTGCATGAGCCTCAGCTCTGATTCAGTTTGGCTATGCCATATTCCTAAATGCAGCCAAACCATTTTTACTACTTCATTTTGCAAGCTCTGTGCAAAGCAGTCAGAGAATACCAGTTCTCCTTCTGCCTTATACTACTGAAAAAGCCAAGGAAGCTGCATTCCTTTATACTCCTCTTAGTAAAAAATCAAAAATAAAAAAAATTTTTCAATCCCAATTGCTTTCCTCCATGTCCCCACCACTTTCTACACTCCTCCGCAAAAGATTACTGTAGTTTTCTCACTCTTCTCTTTCACATACAAGTTTGAGATACATTCAGTGATCTTCACAACACATCATGTATTATTAGGACCCCTCATCTCTTCATCCATTAATGTGATTTGTAACTGAGCTTTAAAAACAAAACAGTCTAAATTTGGATTTTGCTTTTTCTTGTTTGTGGGTTTTTTTTTTCTAATTACCTTGGTAATTACTATTATTACTTTAAAATGAAACTGATCTACCCTCAAATAAAGTTATGGCTCTGCATGCTTCCAGAGACTGGGAATACTTAAGAAACTGGATGAATGAACGCAGTCATTACCTCTAAAATCAGACTAAGCTACTGTGAATTCAAAAAATTCTATAAATCACATTCTCTTCATCCACACAAAGTATCTTGCTCTATTAAGCACAGCACTTGATCTTTGTGTCTCTGATAACACTGGGTCACCATTTAGAACCAGGATCTTGGCATGACACACACAGCTATATAGAGCTTGATCTGTTTAAAGGCATCTCTCCGCGGACATTGCCTCTTGGCCTAAGTCCTGGTACGAACTATGGAAGGTGGGAGCTGTTACAGGAACAGGCAGTTCTTTTTATGGAATTCTCTGAAGAAGTATATATTCTCTCTCTTTCTCTCTCTCTGTAGACCTTCAGCTGAGGCAAAAAAATAATCAAATGTAGGTGATCTTTAATAAGGAAGTTTGAAAACTCTCACTATTCCACTAAAATTATAGCAATAGTCCTGAGTACTCAATTTTTGGAAGAACTATCTCAACATTCACTTCTAGTTCCAAGTACATTTCTTACATTTAGATACACACTACCATATTCATTCTTTATCAAATAAAAGCAACAATTTTGAAGAAAATCTACCATTTCTCTGTATGATTTAATCTTTGATTTAAGTGTAAAACTTAGATTAGTTTACTTAGTTTAATTCTGAAACTGGATAAACACAATATACGCCTAAGCCTTCATTCAACAGGTTGTTTGCCTTGTTGGTTCATAAGTACCCAAGAGGGACTTCTTCCCTATGCAAATTTTTTAATACTGTCCTCTGTGATCTTTGGAAGCACAGTAAACAGTGGTTACAAACCGCTGTGTTAATGAAAATAATTAAATATTTTATCCAGGCTGACAATGGACTCAAATACTATTATGGATTGTTGTGCAGAAAATGAAGGGAACTGTACATCTCTAGAGGAGTCCTGTTATTTTCCAAGCATTGCCCTCAGTTTCCTAATACATACCCTCATGAGCTCTACTGTGAAAGGATGTGACTTTTATAACTAATCAGAGTTGAACAGCTATGTTAAGGACCAATTTGTCACTGCACACAGATAGCGCTACTAATAATAGGCACTGAAAATAGGAATTCAATATTGATACTTCAGTAATACACTGTGTGATCAGCACTGCTGAACACTTGGCAGGAAAGCTTGAGGCTACAGAAAGACTGAAAAAGATTAACTCCAAGTGAAGGTTTGTTTGAAGTACTGAAAAGTGGGGTTAAAGTGTTTTGCAGATAACGTAAATTCTTACCCAGCCTTATAGGCTACTGCAAAGGTTGGAAGTATAAGATTTTATTAATGCTACGTTATGTTTGATCACTTGTATGGAATAAACCTATCGATTAGCAAAACATACAAGATTGTATGATCAAGTATGTAATCACCAAATGAAACAGAAAAGGGAAATATAAAATATCTATTAGTTGCATGTTATGATCTTTTGTGTTCAGTTTTGGTCCCTGCTATACAAAAAAGATGTGGCCAGGCTGGAGAGGGTCCAGAGAAGGGCCACAAAGATGATCAAGGGACTGGGAAGCCTGGCACATGAGGAAAGGCTGAGAGAACTGGGTCTGTTCAGCCTTGAGAAGAGAAGGGTTGAGGGAGAGCTTATCACCATGTTCAAGTATTTAAAGGGTGACTACAAAGAAGATAGAGACTCCCATTTTACAAGGAGCCGCATGGAAAAAGTGGAGGGGTAATGGGGACAGATTACTTCTGGGGAGATTCTGATTGAACTGAAGAGGAAAATCTTTCACAGTGAGAACAATCAGCCACTGGAATAATCTCCCCAGGGAAGTGGTGGACTCCCCCACACTGGACACTTTTAAGATTCAGTTGTACAGGGTGCTGGGCCATCTTGTCTAGACTCTGCTTTTGCCAAGAAAGGTTGGACCAGATGATCCTTTCCAACCTGGTATTCTATGATTCTGTGATTCTTCACAGTGAATGATGTGATGAACTTTTCATACTCAAGTATATTCTGGTCAAGAAAAATCAGCATTCTTACATTATGAAACAGACAAAAAGGAACAAATACTCATCTAGAACATTAATTAGACCTCCACTCTGAAAAATGCTGTATATAGTATTCAAGATGGCACTAACATAAAAAGTTGTTTTACTTTTCAACTCTGTCCTGTTAGCTTCTTCAGTAGACAGATAGTATTTGATAAATACTTTTTTGTAACTTCTAATATTGCTTCTCTGATCTACTAGTTTATCCTCTCTATACTTTGGTAAAATTTCAGTCTGACTTCACAGTAGTTACACCCTCCTCAAGATCATAAAAATGTTCAACTGATAGGACTCAGAGATAAGCTTACTGTTCAGTGGTTTCTGGGTATCTGCATTCCCTTCTCCTTCAAATCCTGAGGGCTGGTCTTCTACCTTAACAGTTGTCTTTTTCGACCTTGTCCTGTCATCTTCATCTTCACTATCTGCTGTGTAAAGACTTCGATCTGTAAACGGGCATCTCTCATCTCTGTCTCAGAAGAAAAAAAAAAAAATCATGTTATCCTTACAAACCTGAAGCAATTGTTTTCCTTTCATTAGTTACAACACACTCTGCATATACAACAGTAACATTCTCTTATCTCTTCATTACAAATTGTACATATTCTCATTTTACTCCCTGTACAACTGTCATTTCCACAAAAATGCAGTTTTACATCAGAATATTTTAAATTTCCATCACTCCAATAGATGGATACAAAACAACCATTTCTACTTTGAAGCATTCCCTTCGGTACAAACCCAACTGAGCAACTGAATGAAATGCTGTTAACAAAGGAACATGTGAAGAATATCCTCTTCACTCCATAACCATGGCTCCACTAGGGGACAGCAGACACAACAGGCAACACATTCCTTCTATATTCCTAACATGAATCTTACTGGTACAAGAGAACTTAGATCTCCACAAACAGAAAAGAAGTGTTATTAATAATTCACATGCTCCAGACCATAATGACTAGGAAGAAGTGATCCACAATCAACCCTTTGTACCTAATTATTCTTCCATTTGACAGCAGAAGGCGAAGATCATTGTCTTTTGCTCGCCACTCAGGTACTGTAGAAGATGGCTGAAAGGGCTTGTTAAACCTCCCGTTCAGTTTTGAGCTTGTGGTATCCTAAAGAAGTAAAAGCAATGTTGCTTATTATTTATTTTTATAAATTCAATTGTTTTTTTGTGTTCCACAAAAGCTTAAACTCAGCACCAGGATGGTTTCCTTCCTGATAATTATCTGAAGAAAGCTCAGACAAAACATGTTTGGATGTAAAAAACAGCAGACAGCATTATCTCCTTCCTTGAATCACCTATAGTCTCCTGAAGCATCTAAACCAACTACAACTTCACTATAATACTTCTTTTATGTTGTTTTTGGAGAATTATACCTGTATTCAGAACAAAGAAATACCAATAGAATCAGGCAAGTCAAAAGCTGGTCTGGATTGGGTATCTGGTCCCTGGAATTAGTATTCCAGAACTGGTTTATAGGACAGTAAAACATCAGTAAAAGTAACCTGCCATAAGCAGAATTTTCTTAGCTCAAAGCAATTTACATTTGACATATACTCTAAAGCAATCAGCAATATGCTTATGTGCCAAACATGTAAAATAATTTTATCTTTTTTACAAGTCAATACTGATACTGAACAATATATTTCTACATTAAATGACAATGACTAACACTCCTAAACATTTGTTTGTAGCAATGAACTGCACAGGTTAACTATTTGTGGTAAATTTTAAGTTCAGCTTCCTGCCTTTGGGGCTAAATCTATGTCTCTTGTTCATGCCTTATGAAGGTCAATATAAGGATCCAAATAAGTATTTCTCCACTATGATAGTCCATCTTGACCCAAGTAAATTTGTCAGTGTTTCTTATTCTCAGAAAGCTACTAATTTCCTTTCATAAAGCTTACTTATTTCCATTCTCTCACTCCTTCCATTTCTGTTGCTGTTTTTGGAAATAAGGTCATCAAACCTCAAAAAAATAGTTTTTCAAGAGACTACATTTTGCTCATTCACTCTGTTATACCTTTGTAATACAACCACAGCCCCACAATGGAGACCAAAGGCAGCCATAGGCTTACTGGTAGGGAGGTACAGTCATACAGTAAATAGGAACATGACTGAAAAACAAAGCTAATCAAAATATAGTAACTCAACTGTAAGAAGCAGCTATCTAAAAGCACGTAGCAGGCTGGCTCAGCCTCACCAAAAGAAGGCTTTGCAGGCTCCCTTTTCTTTACAGAAGTGATTCAAAATAGTACTTCATAGCTGCAGATGTCCTACTTCAAAAACTACTTGAAGTAGGTAGCAAATTCACCGTGCTTTCTGAACCAAAAGGCTGAAGGAACCTCCACAGAAAAATTATCAAGAAACAGAGAAATTCCTATCAGAAAAACTTGAAAGAAAGAAAGAAAGAAACTGAAAACAAATTTATCCATATTTCATATGACAAAGCATAGTAGCCTATATTCTTATGCATGTTAAAAGCTTTTCCCTTTCAACAGAGATTAGAAATCTACTTTTTTTTTTTTCTTGCTCATAACTTAATACTTGCCTCCTCCCACGGTGACATCTCCAGTCTTTTCAGTACCTCCCTAGTGTGGAGTTCCAGGATGTCCAGATTAGAAGGAGTTTTGGTAGCATGGTCTCGCAGTTTCCTCACCCTTCGTCTGGAGTGGTGAGGGGAAGCTGTTTCATGCGAAGACCGTGAAGTTGGACACACACCAAGAATTCCCTGAGTTTTAACTAGTTTGCTGTTTTCCTCCTTTAATCAAAAACACATATTTCAGAATAGTCTCATAGCAGTAAATTCATGTAAATTCATGTATTTAAGTGCTGCTTCTTATTAATCTAATTAAATTTAAATAATATGAATAAAATTGCTAGACTTTTAGAGAACTACTACATATTTCCTACGAATTTGATGTGCAAAGCTTAGTTCTACTGCACCTCTTTCCTGTTTAGGGCTTTAATACTCTCCCATAACAGTAGTGCTTAACACCAAAAGTTACCACCAAAATATAAGGTTTTATTCATGAAGGCAGCATAAGGCAAAGATGTATTATACCCAACAAATCACATCCCTCTTCAGTTCTCAGAACTGTTCTCTCCACATGCAAATGTGAGAATTTTTCAAGAATCAATATTCATTAAGGGATAAAGGATCAAAACACTGGTACAGGAGGGGAAAAAAGAAACTAAAGAACCATTCACTACATAACAAATAGCAACAACATGTAAGAAAAAAGAGCAAAAGAGATAACAACTGGAATAAAACTAACAAACAAGAGGGTAGGAGAATGGAATATGCACAGAATTTCAAATTAAATTATTTAACAACATATTCATAGTAATTACTGCAACTACTTATAACTGAGAACATTTTAGAAATACTGAGCTACAACTAGTTTTAACATTAAAAATATTTTTAAAAAAACAAACAACCATAAAAAAACCCTCACTATATATTTTCTTTATCTGAAATGCCCAGAGCTTAGTATTCCCAAAAGTCTTCCTCTTGATCTTCTATTATTAAATGAATGTTAAATAAAAGGTGAACACAGTCAATAAGAAGCATAACTACTATGGAATTCCCTGATTCAAAGGGTTTTTTCCTGCAGGCTTATGTAGGATTGCCTCTGTTCTTACCTCTACAGAACGAATCACTTTGGAAAGCTCTTTTATGAGATGCCCAGGCCTAATGTTGTCTGGAATTTCAAAGGCATGTTCTGTTACAAGCTGTATGCAGAAAGGGAAGAAAAGATACTTAATTTTTCAGATAAAAGTGGAAGTAATACAAAATAAACAAATCTACGGGGGAAAAAATTAAGGTAAAAAACCATATTAATTTCTGTAATAAGGACTGCAAGCTGCCAGGGCAGATACATGCGCACGCACTGAAGCTCCCAGTCCAAGCTTTATAACACAGCAGACATCACTTAATGTGTTTAAGAATCAAAACAAGGGGTAATACAAAGCCATACTGACAACCACTTAATTTTTTTCCCCCCCCCAGTACCATAATCAGCTTCTTTTTTTGGCTTTAGCAGTAATAGAGCCACACTTCAGAAACTCATCATAGTCACAACCTTAAAACAAGCTTAAGACTAAGGGAATTTCACTATGGCAAAAATTTATTCTAAAGAGCAAATCAAGAATAATAATCAGTAAGCAACATGTAGATTTTTAGACATCTGCCTCACATTTCACTTTTAAAAATTACCCTCTTAGCTTACTTAGAATCCAGTAGGTTGGAAAAAGTAATTCAAAAAATCATTCCCTATAAAAAAAAATTTAGTAAGTCGTAACAGTTTATGTTCCCTTTAATCCTCTAAAACAGTTAGAGACAGACTTCATATATAGAGATTTTATATATATATATATTTATATATATATATATATATATAAACAATCTGAGTAAGTCCACTCTACAGTTAGATCTAGTAAAAAATGTTTAATATTTTTATGTATAGTTTAAATGTGCCTCAAAACACATTTATTAGAATTAAACAGACAAAAGAGCACTCACACATAGACCAGAATGACTGACATGAATTCTGCCACCACTTTAATCGACTATTTAAATGGGAAAACACCCCACAAACATTTTCAGCTACCCACACTTCAAAAATGAGATTCAGTAGTAAAATTATTGCTAGAAGCAGTTTGATACTCTATGTGCATTTCATTGAACCTGGCTTCCCCTCAGTCATTAAAATGAATGCTCCATACTCCCAAAAAACAACCAACATGGATTTATAATCAATAGTATAATAATTAATTTCAGTGCTATTAATTCTATAGGAAATCATAAATCAGCTGCTACAATTTACCGTTGTTCATTGTCATTCTTTGAATGCATCACCTCTACACATTCACACTTTGGAACACAACACCTTTATCACGAAACATGTTATCATTTTTCCAGCAAGTTACTGGTCATTTTAGGACCATTCAGTCCTTTCTATTTAACAACTTCACTCTCCCAAAAGCCTTCCTGCCCATGAAGACTTCAAGAAATGACCTATGCAATCCTCCAAAACACCAATTTCAAATTTTCTCTGCTTTAAAAATACTGAAAAACTCTCCTAATACAAACACAGTTTATAGAAGCACATTATTTTGCCAGTATTATTTACAGTAACTTCGAGCAAAGTAAGTTCCACTGGCAAGTGCACTTGTTTGCCACTATAAAAGGTATCTGTCTACACGAAAGCTTTCTCACTTATGCTGTGGCAGAGTAATTATTAAAGGAAAAAAAAAAAAAAAGAAAAGAAAAAAACATCCACCCAAGCAACTTAAATATGCTAACAAATTCAAATGAATATATAACCTACCAGTATGATAGAAGGAAAGGATGGGCAGAAAATACAAATACCTACAGATGCTATGTCTGAAAAAAATTTTCATCATTATTAAATAACTTGGTTTTCAGTTGTCTCTGCATACTGGTTCTTGGAAAAGGAACAAGCAGCCTTTGGGACTGAGGAATTCTCTTGTACTAGGGAGAACAGTAGCAACAAAATGGTCTAAGTATGTCAGATGTAAATTGCTGGTAAATAAATTAGTGGTAAAAAGCTATGATTCATTCAAGAGCTTCAAGAAATGGTTTTGTAAATGTTGGAAATATACAGAGGAAAAAGAAACTTGTTTTAAATCAAGAGATACAGATAAAAAAAAAAATGTCCCAGTAGGTAAATGAATCCACTCATCTTTGGGGACGCATTACAACGAAGTATATCAATATTTGAAAATGCACACACACAGAAAAATAACATAAAAATAGTAACCCCCACACCCCTCTCTCCTTACAAAAAAAAACCTGATTTTTTTTTTTTCTTTTACAACAGTTATTAATAGATTTTTTTTTAAAAAAACAGAACAGTTGTCGAAAATAATCTTACTGGTACATGAACCAAACGTCTGAAAAACTGAATCTGAGACCTTTTGGTTATGCAAGCTGGAAGGAAGCCAGAGCTAAAATCCAAGAGCTCAGACGACTGGATAGGTCATCACCATTATTTTGTCTATCACCTAACAGGCAGACTGATGATCTGCACCAAAGTAAACTGAGGATTCACATACTGATAAAGCCTTGCACAAACTGAACTCAAATCAAGACATGAAAACTAAAATCATTTTAGCACCACTCAATCTCTGTTCTCAGTATCTTGTAATTTTTGGCAGTTTTTAAATACTGCAGAAATGAAGACACACCATTGTCCTGCTGAAGATCAGTTTAAAATTCTCCAGCAAATAATTTAAAACAATTCATTAAGATAATTTACATGTATTCAAAAGACATACTCCATGATACAAATGTGAAACCTCATGAGCAGCTTCTCATCTGAGGAGTATTCAATTGTCTTTTTTTTTTTTTTCAGAATCTGTCTGAAATGCCGAGCATGAACAGATCATACAGCAATGCACAAAGCTCCTCCTGTCTTCAGCTGCATACAACTACAATCCCATCACGCACATGGCTTACTGCAAAGAAAAGATCAGCTCACTTACGAAGCAGTAGCTAGAAAAGATGAACATAAGGTATAAAACATGATAGCTAGTGGACAGCAGACAACACTGGGACAAGATCACTGATGCTGTGCAGTTTCCTCCCAATTGAAGCACCTGTTCAGCCGGTTGTTTAGGAATACTCACAGGTCTCATTAATAAGTATTCAGAATGCAGCATGTGCAACTTTTTTTCCCCCCCAAAAAAAGTAGGAAACATATCACATTCTAGATGAAGTGTTAATCAAACTACTAAATGAGCTACTAGACTGTACATGTAAATGCTACAATACTATACTACAGCAATCTAGAAAAGACAAATTCCAATCCAATTTCAAATTAAAATAAGGATTTATACAGACTATGTTTGATCTTATGTATCAGCAGTCTGATTATTTGGCTTTTTATCCGTATCACAGATACAGAGATCGCTTGGATTTACACATGGTTTAATAGCTTAGGCACAATATCCTGTAAATACTGCTACACTGCTTACTAGCTACTTCTGATCCAGATGAAGAGACTGGAGGACCAACTCAGAGGTGTTACAGAGTGCCAGCAAAGGTTCACCTGGAATCAGCAGTGCTACACAGGCTGGATCCTAGAGGATTCCACACAGAGTAACCACCCCTGAATCTGCACCTCGTGGTCAGTTCCATGAAGCCCATTTTGTTGGATGCAGCATTGTGCAAATATCATACCTGTTGCACAGTAAATTCTCTTACAAGGAGAACTTGTGGGCAGAAAGATCAAACAGATCTTCAAGAAACAGTTCAAGTCAGCATGTCCAGAAACAAACTAGAATTAATAAGATCAGTCAGAAACAAACTGCCTGTCAGTGAACAGCACTTCCAGAAGCACAGGTTCCAAGAGGACTTACTAGCTCAGGCACATGAAAAAACACACGGAGTTATGACAGATCCAGTGTTGTGCCAAAACAAATAAGCCTTCCTGGAGAGCAGAGCACCAGAAAATCCAGGATAGACAACATATTAATGATTTTACAAGAGTCAGCCAATGTTCAGCAGGGACAGCATTCAAATGAAGTTAATATCCTCACCTGAATCTAAACTGACTCTTCAGCAATACAGGTGTACATGAAATGTGCTCTCCAAAGCATTGACATTAATGGAAAATGCTAAATATCAGGACTTTCCACCCCTCCATTGCCTCAGACTAGGATGAATCAACTATATAAACACATCTGCTAGGAAAAAAAAAAAGCCCTACTGTATCAGCTTATCCTCTAGCATTCTTACAGTGAACCAAGATTCTACTTCCATCAGTTACAACACAAGAGTTTAACTAGTCTAAAAAGATTTTATTAGCATAACGGAATATAAAATTGTCATGATGATTCTTCCCCAGATCAGCAGCACATACTCTCCATTCATTCTTTCAGTATTCGTTAACAGATAAAAATAATCTTAAACTTTAAAAGGGCACAGACCTTTCTTTACTTCTAAATCAAAACAAAGCTCACCAAAATAGCAAACAAAATCATGTATACTTACTTCTTTTTTCATCCATAATTTTAAAGCAGTAAGTAAAGCCTTCACTCCTTGCACTAAATAGCTTGGAGGCTGGAAACCATCTTCCCTCAGTTCTAGAAAGGATACAGATATCAATTTAGTAACACTAACAGTGAAAACAATACAATGATACCTACCACACAGCCCGTAAAGCTGCCATTAAGCAACAATACAAAAAAGGAAAAATTGTGCAAACAAACGAAACATGACATCCTGTATTTGTGTACATATTATGACAAAAAAACAAACCAAAACAAACAAGTGAACCCTAAAGTGATTCTCCATAAAATCTTCTTTTTTTGACTTATATAATACTTGTGTGAATTAGGGATAGTTTACAACATACTAAAGGTCAATTAGAACAAAACAGATCTAAAATACAGAACAAGAGAAAGCATATTTGAAGAAATAGATCACTTCTATTTCATTCAGAGATACTTTATTCAAAGGGGACCAGAAGGATGTGGGATGTATCTCTAAATTAGAATTCCTACTGCTTATTCCCATCCATACAGCAAATGGTTCACACTAGCACACTTTCACTCCCCAAACATTTCTGTCACACTTCCAATTATCACAGTTCTCCCTCACATACTTTACATCATTTTTCCTCCCAAAATCAAAGGGGGCGAGGGCTGAAATCACTCAGATACAGAAACTGCTCTTCTTAAGAAAGCTGGTACTCCCAAGCAATCACAATTTCTTTTCAATTTTCTCTTTTCCTTTGTGGCATATATTAAAAAAAAAAAAAAAAAAAAAAAAAAAAAAACATAAACAGTCAAGAGTAGATTGTAACCTCTTCCCATGTACCTGACAGTATTTCCACTTGTCAGTAGCAAATGAACCAACACTAGAACTATTTGGGTCACTTTATTCCCTTAAAAGAATACACTAATAAAACACTGTTCTTATGGATAATATATTAGTCCATTGGCAGAAAAAGGGAAGCTCTGTTACTAAACACCTGTTCCCTCAAATATGCCTCCCACTTGTTAAAGAGTACAAGAAGGAGTGACAGGCCTTTGAGTTGCAGCAGAAGTCTTCCTGCCCACTAGCTGACTCAGTTGATAAAATTGAGAATACAATGCAGCATCACAGGTTGGATTTTTAACCTCAACAGAAAAGACTGCATGACAGAAAAGTAATCAAAATTAATGAGTATCCGATAGATGAACAAGTTACCTATTCCGAAACCCCAAGAACTACAAGGAAAAATAGTTTAGGTGAATGCCACAACACTTATAATATCATAAAACACTTCTTACCAATGAAGAGACAAAATCAAAATGTTTATGACCCTGATACAATTTTATAAGAAGAACCAGGAAGATACCTTGTATTGATTTTGCTTACTGACCTGGGTAACACTTGAATGCTTACTGCACTCAACATTTTACAAATTGATCATCATTATTACTTTTCACAACCAAACTATCAACTTTTAGTTATAAACCAACAGATTCTGATGAGCAAACACCTAATTCACATGAGTCTTGATGCCAAACTGCAATATAATCTTCACTCTAGCCATGGAAACCTCAATTTTTACTTTTTATGATGTGTTTATCGATCATAGCATTGTTCTGCTACAAAGTATCTGCTAAACCATACATCAAAAATAACATGAGAATAAGCTTCATATCCCCTAAGATGCAAGTCACAAGAGGCTCCTAGTCTACTTACTCAAGGAGTCATGGGATAAAAAGAGGAGGGGGAATAAGGGGGGAATGAACATGGGACACAACTCATAGTTAGCCAGATGATAGAGAAACATATACTGCAGCTCTTCCAGCAGGAATGCTCCTATATCTTCTGACAAGTTTGTAAATTTTAAATATGCAGGACTGAGACCAACCAAAGCAAGCTTTCAAGAAAAAAATACTCTTTTCTTGGAAGGAAAAATTTTCTGCAAGTTTGTTCTATTTGGTAAGAATTTTGAGTTTCTTTAGATTCATCCAGAAGCTTTAAATGCTCATTTAGAAAACAAGGGTTGTTCAAATGCCTTCCTTTGTTGAAAGCAGATAGATAATTTTCAATAGCTATGACTGTTTTCATATTAGAAAAAAGTTATATGAGATTTTGTTCTTTTCCAAAGCAGAAACTGAATTCAGCAGGCTCTTCTGAAGGTTGATTTCTCTCGTTTGAAATGCATCATTTGGAATATGACATTTATTATCAGGATGAAATAGAGCAGGCAGAAGACAAGATATTTGAGGAAAGGAAGGTAAAGCCAAACAGACACTCTCTCAAGCTCAATTACTCATGGGTACAGATATAGGAATTACGGGACTAGTTGAGGAAGTCTGGAAAGGACTGGCAACTGTCAGAAACAAGAGGCTGTCAAGATGTCTATTGATAAACACTGATATAAATGATTTAACACAGCTCATAGGAACTGATGCATCTTTCCTACAAAAGGCCTCACAGACACCTTTCCCTTCACAAAGAGCAGAAGGTAACAGGCAGTTTAACTGAAAAGGACAAAAAAAATGGTACAAGTGTAAGAAAACCTCTTCATTTAGTTAGGAAGCCACTAAGAAGTAACCCACAGATATGCTAGCGGCATCATTTGGAGAGTCATTTGTTGAGAGAAGGAGAGAAAGGCCTTTGACACCGTTTCCCACAGCATTCTCCTGGCAAAACTGACTGCTCAAGGCTTGGACAATCACATGCTTCACTGGGTAAAAATCTGGCTCGATGGTCAGGCCCAAAGAGTTGTGGTGAATGGAGTTAAATCCAGTTGGCAGCCGGTCATGAGCGGTGTCCCCCAGGGCTCGGTTTTGGGACCAGTCCTGTTTAACATGTTTATTGATGATCTAGAGGAGGGGATCGAGTGCACCCTCAGTCAGTTTGCAGATGACACACAGTTGGGTGGGAGTGTTGATCTGCTCGAGGGTAGGGAGGCTCTGCAGAGAGACCTGGACAGGCTGGAGCCATGGGCTGAGCCCAACTGGAGGAGTTTCCATAAGGCCAAATGCCGGGGGCTGCCCTTGGGCCACAACAACCCCCAGCAGCGCTACAGGCTTGGGGAGGAGTGGCTGGAGAGCTGCCAGTCAGAGAGGGACCTGAGGGTGTTGATTGACAGCTGGCTGAACAGGAGCCAGCAGTGTGCCCAGGTGGCCAAGAAGGCCAATGGCATCCTGGCTTGTGTCAGCAATAGCGTGGCCAGCAGGGACAGGGAAGGGATCTCACCCCTGTACTTGGCTCTGGTGAGGCCGCACCTCGATTCCTGTGTTCAGTTTTGGGCCCCTCACTACAAAAAGGACATTGAGTGACTCGAGCGTGTCCAGAGAAGGGCAACGGAGCTGGTGCAGGGTCTGGAGCACCTGTTGTACAGGGAGCGGCTGAGGGAACTGGGGGTGTTTAGTCTAGAGAAGAGGAGGCTGAGGGGAGACGTCATCGCCCTCTACAGCTACCTGAAAGGAGGTTGCAGAGAGCTGGGGATGAGACTCTTTAACCAAGTAACAAGCGATAGGACAAGAGGGAATGGCCTCAAATTGCACCAGAGAAGGTTTAGACTAGATTATCAGGAAGCATTTCTTTACAGAAAGGGTTGTTAGGCGTTGGAATGGGCTGCCCAGGGAGGTGGTGGAGTCCCCATCCCGGGAGGTATTTAAGACTCGGGTCAACATAGAGCTGAGGGATATGGTGTAGTTGGGAACTGTTAATGTTAGGTTAATGGTTGGACTGGATTATCTTCAAGGTCTTTTCCAACCTAGACGATTCTGTGAAAGCTTGTCAAAAGGTACTCAAATATCTTAAATGATATTGAAGAAGCCCGAGTGAGAAACTGATGCCACTGAAGTAAGTTTTCTATCTTTCTTAAGAAGGTCTTTTCAGATAATGGCAAACTAATTTTATTTGGGTGGTAGTATAAATGCACTGTGCCAGTATCTCAGATACTCTGTCCTGATAATCTAGAATATTTTCATGACCAGATACATCATCAGCACTGAATAAAAAACATTAAATAGTTCAAAGGTTCCAGTAGCATGCTAGAAAGTGTTAGTTACATGCATCACCAAGTGCACTAAGAACCAAGAACTGAATGCACTAAACTAAGAACTGCTGGATCGAGAACTGTCACAATGCAGCATTCACTAAAATCTGGTTAAAAAATAATGCAATTTTAAAAGAAAATCCAAGTCTATAGTTTTTCAGTTTAGAAAGCTTCCTTTGTTCACACACCAGCAATATAATTTTCTCCATTATCAATGAAGAGAGACAAAAATAAAAATAAAAGCAGATACATGTATATGTTAAAACAAAACAAGGATTACCTTTCAATGTTTCCAGTAAGTTTTTGGCCACAAACCAACAGATGGCTTCAAAGAAAGGAAATTTGAAAAGATCTGGAGTTTTTAGCCTCTTCTCCATTTCATAACACCTGAATAGAAATATTACAAAACATGAATGTTTTATTTACCAAATTCATTATTCAATTATGCAATCATTCAAATTGACACAATGTTAAAAAAAACAAAACAAAAACAAACCATGGCCATGATAAATAAAAGAAGTCAAGTACCACATAGTTAAACCCCAACAAGACCACAGACAAGATTGAACTCTGGTCTCATCCAGGTTCTGACCTTATCAGGTTTGACTGAGGCACTTCTAAGAATAAAGTTGGACTTCATAAAACTAGGATACAAACCCAATGTGTGATCTTTTAACAGATGGAATTTTATCAGGATTCCACTGTAATAAATAAAAACAAAATGTTTAGAAGACAGCTCCGCATCTTGGACAAAAACTAAATACAGCTGCCCGTAGAGCAATGCTGATTTGAGGACGCTCATTTCAACTCTGTGTCGCACACCTGGGCTTGCTCATTTTTGTTTTATTCACTTACACTAATCTCCAAAGTAGAGTTTTCCTTTCTTTTATTTTTCTTTTATTCACTTAAATTCTTGTGTACCCTTCATTTTGCTTTTGAAGCAAACTTTGCAGAAGTGAAATAAGAGTACGTGCTTGATAACATTCTAACTGAAAATGCCACTATTGTCTGTTTGAGAGTCTGTACCAATTTGATCTTGGTTAAGAGCATGAAGAAAAATATTATCCTGCTAACTGAAGAAAAGGTATAGGCAAAACTGAAACTAACCTGAGCTGCATGCCAATATTGAGGTTGTGCAAAAAGTTTCCTCCAAAAGCCATACAATCCTGAGACGTGAGCACTGCGTGAATCCAGCCTAAAATGACAGATTCTAAAACTTAATACATACATATAAATTACTCTGTTTCTAAATACATATGTAAGTAAAAATTATATATCTGGAAACATAAAAAACAAATTTGTATTCTGTGCTAGGAACAAGTAATTAAATTTTAACATGTACATTACAATGTTTCAGAAATCTAGTGGAACTGTAGTTTTCTGAAGAAGTTAATATTAAGACATTTTTCACTGATGGAGGAGGAATGCAAGACCACCAGTAATTTTCAAGCAAAAATTCCCAAAAGTTTTCCCTCCAATCAACACAAATAAGCAAGTCAGGAGAGGAAGAATATACTGAAAAGAAGATAAAGTCATAAAAATAAAACAGAAATTATATTTGTATCAACAGTTATCTGTTGCTTAAAGTAACTGAGCTGTTTGCACAACATAAAAAAGTCATATAGTGATCCTGAAGTTTCTTAAATAGGAATTCAGAAGTAGTTTCATTAATTATTCTAAATACAGCCATGCTAATTCCAGTGAAATTACGATCGGTTTAAAAGCCAGCCTAGGCACTCTGACTATATAAATTTGTCATATAATTGAAATATTGTCCTTGTGAACTCCACTATTCAACATGGCAAAGCACAGCCAACATTAAACTATCAATCTAGCTGATTAGTACTGGATCGCTTCAAGTGAGTACACAAAAGAACATATGATATAGCTTCCTGATTAAAAACAGTTAGCTTTATAATTTACACTATGCAACTTTAATCTAAATAAACTAAAACCAGAGTTTCTTCTTTCAAGATTTGTATTCTGATTTTGCATGCATACAGATAATCTTTTGACAGAAGATGAGCTGGCCACACGTTTGCAGATTACTTTGTGGTTGGACTGAGTATAGCCAAGATGTCCAAATAGAGGAAGCTCCCCAGCTTGAGACAAGATCAGATCAAATCACTCACAACTACATATTGCAAACTACCATTAAAACCACGCCCTAATTCAGTTTAGAACAACCAGATCTAGTTGTTGTGATACAACATGTAAAAAGACCTGAAACCTAGCAACTATGCTAAGCAACATGCCTACTACATTGTCTGGGAAGGAAGTAAGAGTGGTATATGCAAGAAATGTAAAACACAATGGCACATGCAACCTGAAGGGGATTTTTAGTTAATATTGTTCAGCTCTTTGAGAAGTACAGTGCAAAGAAGATTGCCTTGAACTACCAGCTGCATTTTGCCCTTGTCAATATGGTTTCAATTTTTCACTCTTATCACCATCACAGTAGATTAATACCTCTGACTCCAAGAAATATGTGTACTTCAATCCTTTAAACACACACCTCCCCTGGCACTGACAAAAGTGACAACAAAGCTTCATCACTGTTGCATCAACACCAAGGAATTTTATGGCATATCTGTATGAACTAAAGGATTTTTTTACATTCCTATTTTCTATTTTTATGCTATAGTTTTGATCAAGATCTACATAACAACAAGAAAACTTGGTGTAGGATAGGACATAGGATAGCTCGAATAATATTTAAGTAACTCTCAAGAGCCTCCCAGTAGGTGTTATTCATCTACATGCAAGATTAATTTTAAATCAGATGTCTACTCTGAACATATTTCAGAGATTATTAAAACAATTAAGACATTCACTAGCATCAGTGTAAGCAGAAACTGCAGAAGTGGCTTTCAATAGAGATCAGGGGTTTTTTAAAGCCTTTAATCAGTCTTACAGTATTTCCCAATGTTTAAACACCTGTCTTGGAATCTAGTTTAATTTATTGGTTCTTAGACTACATCATATGTATGGGAATATGCACGTGTGTATACACATGCACGTGTATAGGTGCATTTACATTAAAAAGCATAATTTTGTGTGTATACACACACAAATACATGTATACATTAGAAATTGTCATTTTATGATACTTTTCTTTTTGGTCACATTACAGGGAGAGCTCAGATTCAGCTGATTACTTGGGAAGCAGAAACTATTGTCAAAATCTATGGGTCGCAATAGAAGTTATTTATTCTGTAATTCTGCATTCTTTGTTCATAGGTGTATGACCTTACACTTAGATAAATAGAAAATTAATGTCACCTCTTGCCAAAAATGTATGATTTTAAAAAGCTCTGGGTGTTCAGGAATATTAAGTGCATATATAGCTCCTCACCATGTATTATTTATTCTGCACAAGCCATGAATTAGAACACTAAATATTAAACCTCACAGGTAGAGAACTGAGCTATAAAGAAAAATGCAGTAGTCTGCCTAGAAAGTCCATGACAGAATAAGGTGCTGAAGATAACCTTTAAGGCTTATTCCAGAAGCAGAATTGTGCACTATTTTCCTTCTCCGTGTATTTAAAGCCTCTTCCCCTAACAAAAGGAAAGATAGCACCCAGAACAAATCTTTAAGAACAAAGTAATAGAAAGTATTTATATGGATGGACTGGAAAAGTGAAAACACAGAAATTAACTGGCATTCACTTTACTAGCAAAATATGGTTTGAGCTATTAAAGACACTTATATTTATGGTACTTGGGAGTTGGGGGGATTGAGGTGGTGTGTTTTGTTCGGATTATTTAAAAAAAACACCAGAAAAATTAAGAAGTTTGTTTTGGTGTTTCTCATTTCTTAAAAATGTCCTGTAATTTACCAGATGCTATTAGGTGACATTTACAAGAAACATTAAAGAAAATCAGAAAAGACCATGCCTCTGCATCATTTTTAAAGGAAGCTGATAAAATGAATTTATTAAATCTTCAGTTTCATAAACTATATCTACAAATAACTTTTTATTTTTAATAAAAGGAATTAAGATATGAATTCATTTATATATTATTCACTTTTATTTAGGGGCACTTTCATTTTAATTCAGAGTCTCTACAGGCTCCACAACAGTTTAGATTTTTGCTGACAGAAAACAAAAAACCCCACTCAACTTTTATCTGTAATCCTCTAGCCTACAGCATAAGAATTTTCTGTGATGTTTTTGTAATAATCTTGCCTAGTAAGTCTTACAATATTCAAAAGCTGTAAAAACAAAATTGCATTATAAAACTAAGGTAAGAATTCAGTCTGGATATCTATCAAATAGTGAACAAAGTGTGTTCTATGAATTGGAACTATTTCCCCGATATCAAAAGTAAGCTTTAATTTGTTGTCTTATAATTGGGTAGTAACTGTTCTTACTGTCAGGTAATCTTAAAAGTTAATTAGTTGTTTTGAAAAGCTAAATTTCTAAGTTTTTTATTATTCTCTTATCCAAAATTTTAGGAGAAACCAACTGCTGATAACACAATCATTTTAGTATAGTCTTAATTCCTGGTAATAAAACATGCCAAGTCCTAGTAATACGGTTAAAATCTTACCTGTTGGAACAAATAAAGTGTGTCCTTGCTTCACAACACATTTGTAACATTTGTCAACCTTGTCCCCAAAATATACTTCACTCTGGGTGACAGATGAACTCCAAGACTCATACAGAGCCAAATTTTCATCAGTGGGTTTGATCAAATAGAATATCTTCTCACCCTATTAAACAAAAATATTAAATAAATAAATTAATGTACTGTCAGAGACATAGTACCACCTCTGAGTCATTCCTAATGAAGTGACAGATCGACCTAAATGGTAAGTATTCCATATTTCTGCTATGGAATGTTAGGGCTTCCTAGCCCCAGTGTTTCACAACCATAATCCATCAAAAGCTTAGTCAATAGTACACTGACTAGTTGGTGTCTTGTGATGTAAAAGCAGCAAACAAACCAACAAAAACTATTCATTGGAGTATAAAAAAATTCCATCTTTTATAAACAATTTATGGATATGTGTACACATGTCAAATGAGAAAACATAAGATGAAACCACTTTTGCCTCTTTCTATGATGCATACATGGTCAAAGTTTGTGAGCAGAATAAGAAGTTGAATATGTCAACAATTTTCAATTAATTTTTTCATATAAAACCTCACAGAAGTCACCAACAACATGCTAAACTAAAAGCATAAAAATGCAACACCAACAATCAATAATTCATTTTGAAACTCCTCCCCCAGCTTTTTAAGCACAAAATTTCACACAGGTGATAATGCCATAGAAGGCGGTTGCACACGGAATAAATTTTGTTTTGCAAAGTCATAAATCAAGAAGCCTTCATACCCAGAGAACATGGTACCAAACTGACGTTCCTCCAAAATCGATATGAAAATCAGTATAGCTGTCCTGGACACCCATCAAGCAATACTTCTGAACAAAAGGCTTAGGGAAGACAGAATCGTCTGGCCAATAATTTTCCACCCATGAAAGCTTTCTGGCAATATCTGGTACTTCCACTAATTCAGACATCCTTTTAAAACAAACAAACAAGAACCATAAATATAATCAAGAGTAAAGCACACCTCTTTTTAAATGACAGCTTTACATTTTTGTTTCCTACAAAGTTATTACTTATGAATTAATAAAAATGTTTTATACCCACATTGCACCACAGTAGTCGTCTACATAAAATATGCAGCCTCCTATCTTTCCCGCTACAGACACATTCCTACACATACTGTTCAGCTTAGTGAAAACCACTTCCTATGTTCAAGGAATTGAAGTCAATACTCACTTTGTGTCTGAGAATTCCAGGCTGATCACATTCAATACTTTTGGTCGGTCAGGATTTGTGAAATATTTAATATAATTATGGAGCTTCATTTTACTGTCTGCTTGTCTTGCTACATCTATTACATCTATCACTTTGTCGCCACCTGTGAAAAATAGGATGACTTTCTTAAACCTAGCACAGATAAAAACAGCCAAGTAAGGTGTTTAAGAGAAATTTAACTTTTTCCCAGCCTTTATCAAATCATTTCTGCACAAAAACTCCATTACTGTCAGTATTCTCTACTGAAAGAGACACAGATCAGTATAAACCAACTTTTTATCACGTCTAACATTAATTGCTATAATCAGCAAAGGACAGAACTGAAAACACTCTAAAAATAAATCCTCTTTCCTGTGGTTAACCAAAAAGAAAAAGAGCGGTATGGAATGACTGCAACTGGTTTTAAAAAAATTGAGTTTGTGGCTGCAATCGGGAAGACGAAATTGAGAAAGTTATCAAGGCAGATCTATTCCTCACTCTTCCTATTAACCACCACCATAGTACTTGAATATTTAACACAAGGGCCACTGAGAATTCTTTACAAATAAATCCTACCGCTTACAGCATGCAATTCTTAGCAAATGGAACTAAACTTGCACCCTCCTTATATACATGCATAACTTCTAAGCACACAGTAATTTCACTGAGTAATTGTCATGAGTGTACCTAATTTCTGAAGACAACAAGGATTGGTTTACCTATCACATATTTTAAAGCTACACATCTGTAGGACTTGACAAGCAAGAAGAAACCTTTAGCCAAGAGACAGGACTAATGACAATATTATAATAGTAATTGGTTTATGTCCATTTAGTTAGACAATGGCCAAATTTGACCATTAATTTTGGAATGCTGGAATGTATCTAGATGCAATTTAAAAGTAATTATGTTTATAACACACAAGATCATATCATATTGATAAATTCCAGTTGGAATAGTATCTCTTCCATCTTCCTATTTTTAATTTCAACAGTAGAAAGGTACATCTATGGCATTCCGACTTTTTTCTCGAAACTGGAGAACCTGGCACGTTGAAACATATGTATGAGAATGAGAAGATGAATTTTCTCTCTGAATCTGAAGAGGCAGCATCCCAAAAGAAAAAATTCAGAAGTACCAAAATTATAATTACACTTTAAAGCAGAACACATTACTGTTTGTTAACAACATTCCATATACTACATATTTCCCATATGCTGGTGCCATTGTAAAATGATGGACAGAAAACCTACTTTCAGCACACATTATTATATTAGATTATCACAAGAAGACAGACAAGGCCATATACAGACTTCTCAACTGTACTACATGTTACAGGAAATGCCATGCAGCCAATGGCTCAGTCTCTATTTTTCTGTACTGCACACTTACATGAGGTTGAAACAATTACAGACTAACAAGAGATCTGATAAGAAAGAAATGGTCCTTGGGAAGCTCTAGCTCTCCTGATGAAGTAAGCCAAGTAGGAAATCTTCCAGGAAGAAAGTTTTAATTCAGAAATGCCAATTTACTGAGCCCAAAACATTGTCTTTCTATATCCTAACCAATGACTAAATTTTATTTATCACAGAGTGATTCATTTAATTCCCACAGAGAATAATCTTAAAAGTCATTCCATTTTATCAGTTTACAACATGTAGCAGAAAAAAACTAGCATTTTATATTTCACTTACATGAAAATTAACATGTTTGAAACTTAAAAAGTAAGGCTACATTCTTATGGCATATCTAACACACACACACAAAAAAAAAAAAAAAAAAAAAAAAAAAAGAGAGAAAGGGGAAAAATCCCAACCAAAAAACACTAAAACCGGAGCTTTAATTTTACTCTCTGGTAGTCTTCAATGTAGAATATATATTTAGCATGATCGAAGCCCTTACAGTCATGCAAATATTTATTTTAATTTACAGACAGGATCATTTGTAAGTACTCCAGAGTGACTCTTACCTACATAGCGTTCCACATCTAAAACAGAGAAAGTTGGCGGAGGAAGTCTGAGCCCCAGACCATCTAATTTAGGAACCATAATGGGAACATCAAACCCATGTTTCTCCAGGTATCTTTGTGTCAACTGGCTTCCATGCATTTTCAAAATGACTTCATCAGCACTGGTGGAAAGAAAGAACGAAGTATTAACAGAAAAGCGTCCTGCAAGTACTACTGAAAAAAAAAAAATTATGTCATAGTTTGGTGGAAGACAGATGGAAATGGCTACATCTGAACCCAAAAGAAGTGGACCCACTACTAATATACTAGGCATCTAACTAAAAGAGAAAGAAAACAACCTAAGCAGCAAGGAAACATTTACTGTCATGCATAACCTGGGAACTCATAGTCTTTCAATATGACTGAACACAGTAATTTAAAAGGATAGGGAAAAGGAATTATCAGAGAAGGCATTAAAGTACATTTTGGTAACAACAAACTCCTTCAAAGAATTTTAAGTCACTGTTTCAGTAAGCCAATCACAGACAGCTCAGGATGAAAGTACAACCTGAAAGTTTCTACACTTTCCTCTAAAGCACATGAGGATAGATGGCTCATATAAATGTTTTATCTTATTTGGATGAAACTGAGGACTACTCCTGGACTAGAGGAATAGACAGACAATATTCTGACAGTTCAGGCACAAAAAAATCAAAACAAAACCCAACCACTCATGCTACTGTCCCCATGACCCCACAAAAATAAACCCCAAAACTCCCCCCACCACCCTGCAGCAGTCCCAACAGACAACACAGCCCCGTGCAAAACTGAACAGGGGAAGCTATCACATGAAAAGGAAAATGTATCCATCTGAAACAGGGATAGGGCAGCGGCAAGGGAATTCTAGAGTCATCCTTGACTTTAATTTCTGAAGCAGAAAAATGTTAGTTGTGTCCCCCCCCCAAAGCACACTCTCCTGACAATGTTTTCTCTATTTTTCTCACCAAAAATGTGTAAGAAACTTCAGTACCTTGGGAAAGAGCGAGCCCGCAGCTGTTTAACAAAGGTCCGTGTTCCAGCCTGCACTGGTTTGGAACCATCATCCAACTCTGTGTAGTCATGTCTGTGCCAGTTCCTCCTCTTCTTCACTACAAATTTCAGAAGGATTAAACTTTGAATTAGTTAAATCAAATGGCTCAGATTAGCAGTCATCCCATCAGTGAGCCAGGCATGCCTCAATCACATTACTATGATTAACAAACCTTACTGTTTATGCAGGTGACACACTACCTACCTGTAACAAATGAAATCTTCAGGACACCTGACAGTAATCCTCTATACTTCTATAGCTCCTTCTATGTGACAAACTCAGTGACATTATACACTATTTAAGACTCCATATCCAGCTCAGCACAAGTAAACAGCAGCAGCCTGAAAACTGTCCAAATTTAAAAAAAGTCGGCCACAAAACTAGAAATAGAAATTTAATTTCCTAAAGCTCAGACTTTTTTTTAATAAACAGAAGAATCAAACCTCTTCAAGATCCATAGATTTCATTTTATGTATCAACACAAAATTAACAGGACCTAATGACCCCATCGTGCTATCTCACCATATGATCATACACATATCCAGTCTGATAATATTACTATTATTTACTATCATATGCTGTTTGAAACAAAATCACCTTTCTTTTATCCATTGCTTATGTCTCCATAACAATTCTGGGCACAAACTGGTTTGGGAAGTTCTGATTTTTACTGTACAAGCACAATACATACAATGCAAGCATTGCACCCCAAAACAATCAACTTCTGAGTGGCTTGAAGCTTTAATGCACTGTTACAGCATATTAATAAAGAACAAAAGATAAATTAATGTTCTATTACAATTTTGGGAATCTGAAACTGATAGTTCAATAGCAACTAAAATGCATTTTTAACAGTTCCCTATACTTAAAGGGCCAAGGAAACAAGAAACTAGACATTCTCACAATAACTCTTGTGTTGGTCTCCCCATGACAAATAAGCAAACGAGGAAAAAAAATATTTTTATAGAATCATAGAATGATTTGGGTTGGAAGGGACCTTTAAAGATCACTAGTCCAACCCCCATGCCATAGGCAGGGACACCTTCCACTAGATCAGGTTGCTCAAAGCCCCATTCAACCTGAGTTTGAACACTTACAGCGATGTGACATCTACAACTCCTCTGGGCAACCGGTTCCCGTGTCTCACCACCCTCATCTTAAAAGACTTCTTCCTTGTATCTAATCTAAATCTTTCACTTTAAAACTGTTACCCCTCATGCTGTCACTACAAGCCTTGGTAAAAAGTCTCTTCTTACTTATAAGCTCCCTCTGTATACTGAAAGGCTGTATTTTAGAACACTAAGCTGTATGTAGCCTCACCATTTGAATTCTTTGACCACAAGTTTGAAAGGAAACTCTTGATTGTGTCACCTATTTGTTAGCAAAATGAACTTTGCAGCACTTTCTCTCCATACAAATAAATCTGCATCTCTTGTCCACAAACATTCTACAGGCTAAGAAGCTCTATTAAATTCCCAACAGGTGCCTCAGCAAAAAGGACCACCCCCTCATCTGGGCAAGAAACTCCAACAGTGGTGAACTTCATACCCTTCTATTGACTTACCAGTACATCATTTAGCAGGCTAAGAAACATACTAACACTACAGTAATTTTTAGGTTGCATTTCAGTTTTTCCTAAAAAAGACAAACTGCTCCACAGCATTAGATAGTTGCCACTGGACAACTGCCCCAGAAAGATATACTGAGAGCAGATGTATAATTTAACCCTAATACGAAGGCAAAGATTTAGTTATATCTGCTGAGGAAACACAGAAGAGGGAAAAGCTACTGTTACTTGTCAACACAAATGACCTTTTACTGGCATATCAAAACAGCCTGCAATGCAAATACAACACCCAGCTAAACAACTATATTATGAATTTGAACTTTATGGAAGAGATCATCCTTAAGTTTACCAAAATCATGATGCACTCAAAAATCTAAAAAAGTGTTACCGAGAAGACAGCTAACAGTAACAGGAAGCTAAAGATTTGGGGGGGGGGGGGAAAGTAGTTTCTAAAAAGAAAAAAAAAAATGCTGCTTATCCAGAAAGAACAGTTGGTTACATAGGAATAACTGACATCTTATAGTCATTACACATAAGAGGTAATTATTCCTACTGATAAGCTGTTTCCTACAGGCGTGACAAAACGTACCCTTTAGAAGACATTTAAGAGAATAAACTGACATTTATAGCTATTTGCTAAGCTGAAAACCAGTGCTGAAGAGCCTGCTTAATGAGACAACTATCCAGATACAGTAAAACTATTTCATAAATAATGAAGCCAGGTTTATTAAGTTTTCAAAGCTATTTTCACAGTCATAAATAATAATATAAGAAATTAGTGGCTAATACTAATTTGCAACAGAGCAGTTTATCATAAATTCACTGCTGTTATAACAGCTCATTAAAATTGTAAGATGATACAACCGCTTAAGAGATTTTATAGCACAGAACCAACTTTTAAAAATCTGTCTTCCCAATACTTAAAAATCAGAAATTAAAGTAATTCTTTTACTTAGTACTTGGCAATGTACATCATCCTTCCATAAGTGAGAGAACACCAAAGAACAGAAAACAGTAATGAAAACTTTTTCCACTTACATATCTCTTAATTCTACAGCTTTTATAACCCCATTAAACATTACAATAACAGTTTCAAGAACAATAATTTAACTGAAAGGATCCTAATGCTCAAATTAAAGAAAAGACCCTAGATAAGTTGGAACACACATATATAACACCTTTCCCTCTCAATCACTCCAAACTAGTGGAAGGAACTAGCATTCACCTTTGCTGTTCCTGAAAGCTGAGGCACAACATGCTGTGACAACCCTAAAAATACACACACTAAAAGTACGCTAGACAGTTGCAGGGGGGTTGAGAAAAGGAAAGGAGTGTGATGGCAGTTTTTGTGAAAAGTAAGCAGAAAGCTATTTTCAAATTACATTTCTTACAGACTAAAAACAATGGCCCAGTAACTGTACCTACTTTAGGCAAACACTATTCCCTGTCCTCTCACACTACTAGTCTGTTTGTCTCAGAGGTTACATACCAGACTTCAAATGCAGACTGTACATTGTTACAATGAGGCCCCAAGTCTTGGAAGTGGTCCTCTAGGTGATTCCCAGTGACCAAAACAGCAAGAGAAATGTTAGCATAGGAAGACCGAAAAATTTTAAGGAGCATACAGTAAATCACCACTTCTAAGGCCTGGTACATCATCTCATATTGTCAACTCGGACCAAACACTGGCATTACTAACAGAGTCAAAAAAATAGGCGGGAGAATATTTACAGAATTTGAGAAGGTAAAACCAGATTAAGAAAGTAATGTCCTGACAACCACAGTCCTGTTAACATTCACTGCACCTCGTGTTCTCTTAAAGCTCTAAATTCTAGAGTCGGGTGACAAACCTGACTCCCAACATTCATGCAAAGAAAGCATTTTCAGACTTACGGATCACTGAGAAAACTTTGAAAATAACAAAATATAATATGAAGGCTTTAAACTAAATAATCTAATAAAATCCATAGCGTATTAATGGGGTTTTTTAATGCTCTTTTAAAAATTATTTAGGATTTTAGGATTAATTATTTAGCATGTCATACACACTACTGCCTACTAAAGGTCTTGTAAAGTTGTTGCTCTTAAAAGTCAAGAGGATTTATTCTTATTTGAAATACAAGAAGAAATTGATTGGTTAATTTGATCTTCACATCTAACTATGCAGTAGCCTTTTTTTCATTATTGGAACTTTTACATAAATAATTGTGTAGAATACTGAAAGTAACCATCTATTTGATAGTATGAAGTATGTGTTTCTTGCATATTTTTAGTAAATTTTTTGCACTACACCTTTTGGTTAGATGGGATTATACACACAAGTGTCTGCTGAAATCACAGATGTACTTGCCCTCTTTATTAAACAGCTGAATTTCTGTCTCTTTCAAAACTCCTTTAGACAAAGGGATTTTAGAATGCAAAGCCGTAAATAAAAATGCTTTTTTTACTTACATCATATGATTGAAACACTCTGGAGCATTGCTGCAACACCTGAAGTCATGAGATATTGTCTGTCTCTAAACGCTAAAGTAAGTGGAGCCCAAACCACAAACTATCATAGATTTCATTCTGACAGCTTAGATGAGAACAATTAATAAAATTCCAGGTGAAGATATATTTCAATATATCACCTCTGCTTGGGTTGATAAGTGACATGTCTGAAGCTTCTACTAAATCTAGATGATCTACTTACTTGAGGCAATATGAAGTAATAAGGATAATTTTTACTGCAGATTCTTGTATTTTTGAAAAGACTTTCAACACAAAAATCGCTCTTACTGTCAAACTGCTGCAGGTGAGACAGTGTTTGCATTAGAGCTAGCAGGCTCTGCATTAAAAGAAAGGTTATCCACAGGCGTCACAGTGAAGCATACTGCTTCTCAAATCAAGAGAAAAGAAGTTTCAAATTTACTAGTTTACTATTTTGGAAGACCAGTATGATCCCCTACTTCTCCTCCTCCTAGTCCCTCCATTCCACAGAAAAAAACATGCAGAAAAGTAGGGAAAGAAATGGCTGTTATTTATATTCTGATTTACAGGAGACACAAGCAGATTTTTAACTGAAAATAACAACCTGAATACTAAAAATTACAAGCATGTAAAACATCATTTACCTTACCTTTTTGCCCCTAACCTAAGAGTATCTAACCCTGAACTCACATACTATACAAGATACATAACATGCAATATATATTAATTACATCAATAAGTGACGCTTTATCGCTTCGTTCATACTCCACAAGAGGAGGCTGCAGTGATTTTAAACTAATTTCTAAATGGTAAAGTAAAACCTTTGAACAGCTTTGAAAAGATTCTAGATCTTAAGTTGTTACTGACTATAAATCATTATGTGGTCTTCAAGGAAAAAAAAACAAAACAAAACACAACAAACCCCACACCCCCAAAATACAACAAAAAAGCCCACCACATCAGGAAACACAAATGACCATGACTTAGCGCTTGGAGGTTAAAGATACACCACGTATATAAACATTTTCTAGGTCTAAACATGGAAACATAATTCATTGTTGGAGAGGTTAAATACATTTTTACATGGTTTCCTTTTGAGAACAGAAGTCATAGGCAAAAATCTAGGGAGTTGGATAAAGCAGTATCCTTTCAGTAGTTACAGAAAGACAAAAACTGTTCTATTTTTCCACTGCAGATCTCTACAGCAAATTTATCTACTGAAAGGAGAACCAAAGAAGAGGTGTCTCTTGCTACTGTGTTTCACAGACTCTTCTGGCAAAAAAAACGCATGAGGACCTTGATGGAAACTCGTTTAAAATTTGGAAACCTGAAATTTGGAGCTGTGTAACACTCAAGGATATAAATAGGAAAAAACAAAACAAAACAAACACCCATAGGAAGTTCATATTCTCAGATTTCACTGGACTGTTGTGGCATATAGCCTACAAACATCAAGAAAGATAAAACTGCTAATGACTACATTTTCTCAAAGTTTCCTTCCCAAGTATCAGAATTTTGACTATTAAAATACAGGAAGCTTAAGCTATCTTCTCGATTTTCCTTTAAAAAAACCCAAAACCAACACACCACGATTCCTTACTTTTCAATCTCTCACTCTCTGTTAACTCCATATTTTTTTCTTCTAGCTCTAGCACTTTGATTTCTCTAATCTATAGCAGTGGCTTATATTTTATTTTATCTACATCTGCATATCAAAGAACCTTTTAGGTTGGTTTGTTTTGTGGTTTGGGTTGTTTTAACATCTCAGAATTAGTCATGTAGAACCAGTACCTTCTAGGTAATCAAACTCATCTTGAATGTTCTTCGGAACAGTCTTTTTCAATTGTACATGGAGAGAAAAGAGACTGGAAGTTTAAAATAAAGTTTGAATAACCCATACTTACTTAGAGAAGGTCCATGGAGAATTGCACAGTTGGGACAATGGTATAGATCAATGTCAACAGCATGGTGCTCCTCTACCCCAACACAGCTGGAATAATATTTTTAAAATGTTAATGAGGATACATGCAAGATTTATTTTTCAAGCTAAAAAATAATTAAATCTTAAATTTCTACAAGAACATGCTTAATCTACAAAATCATAATGAGTTAGCAAATTATCTCAACTACTGGGTTACCACATAAATTCTGAGTAATAACTTATCACTGAAGAGAGAATGCCATTAAAAAAAGTAAACAAGAATCAGATTTCTTTAAAAATGATTCCACAATATATACCGTTACCCCTCAACACCCCAAGAGGCTTTGATACTAATTATAGGAAAGTTTATGAAAAATAATTCAAGCAATTTTCCTTATAGAAGTTATAACTTCAAAAAATTTCTGATCTATGTGCTGCTGATTTATAGAAGATCACTGATGTTTTTCTTTTTTTTTTTTCCTGCAAAAAGCACATAACTGACTCCCACTCCCCAAGACAAATCAATGAAGAATGCTTTCATATCCTTCCTGAAATCTTTATGCCACTAGTACTAGCTATGTAAGTTACACAAGCGACCAGTGCTTTTGTTTTAAAATAGCAACAAGTATTTCAAAGAGCACTTGAGAGATGTAATGTTTTCCCTGTGCACATTTTTTCCCAGATAAAACAAAGTGGGATTAAAGTTTAAAATCTTTATAACAGTCATGACAAAGCATCTACAATTGTGTTTATCTAAATAACACGGTTTAAAAGTCAAAATTAATACATTTTCTTCTAAATTGAAACACTAGAGGTTAACTAGAGATGATGTGCTTTTGCACAAAATTCTCAAGGAAAAAAAAAAATCCCTACTTGCTGGTAGAATCTGAATCCTGTCAGAGTTCTTTCTCTCAGAAGTTCACTGACACAAAATTGCTGACTTTGTAACACAGAAACAACACTACAAAATTGAACACCAAAATTAGGTATTTATACTCAGTGCATTCTAGTAACAGGAGAACTTGAACAGTACTCCATTCAGGTAATCTGTTTCATATCAAAAGTGTAATGACAGTTCAAACACTTAAGCTTTGCAATGATCCAGCTACACAAAGTCTTTTCCCTAGCAATCTAGTGCCAAAACTGCTGACATGCTCCAGTAAGTGTCAGTACACACTGCCAAAACAATATACTAAGCAGTCTAGCATGCAAAGCACACCAATAAACAAATCAAATCTGAAACTGAAGAGCATCTCCCATGTACCTACCAGTAAGTACACCATTCTGAATTCTCTGTAAGCAGATTCAGCTGGTTCTTCTACTTCTCCATTCACTACATACCACATGAAACTTAGAAACTCTATAGCTTTTTAATATACATACTATTTTAAAATCTAAACACAAAACTCAGCTGCCACAGTTCATCACAATTCTTGCAATATTTAGTATCTGTTTTAAGACCACAGCTACAGGAATTGTTATTACATGAAAATTCAGCTGACATATAAACAAAAAGGAAGGCAGAAGCAGTCTTTAAAAATGCATGTCCCATTTCCTTCTGCTTGTGTTCTCTCTCTTTTTATAGAATAGATGAGTGATTCATAATCCTATGTATTATAAGAAAACTGTTTTTAAAATGTACACTCTAAAAGCCCCAAATGAGAAGACTGGTTTTATACATCCTCAGGAATCCATCCCATTATTGTAGCTAAACTTCTGAATTTTGAACAGCTAAAGATATTTATGTTAGATTGTATCTTGATCAAGTTTGGACAATTACTCAGTGAAACACAGTTCTCCATAGGAAAACTTTACTTACTCCCTTTCCTTTTTATTGGTATTTACCCAATACATTCATCCCCATAATCCCAGATTATCTTGCTGACTAACAGGAAGAACTTTGCATCAAGGTACAGTAAACACACATTCAAGCTTTGACAACTGTCATATTCTGGTTAAGAATGTTAATTTTATTGTCTCTTATAGAATGTTACAGATAGCCTGAAAATAAAGCAGAAATTCTGTTAAGTACTAAACACTTTCTCTGACTTGATTAATTCCATAACCTTTCATGAAAACACATGGGGCTGTGTGTACAGAGACAGGCAACACTGGAACAGTATTAGAATAGCTAGAATAGCCATTCAATAAAGAAAGCAAACATTTTCAGTCTACTATTTATGCTTTAAACTCAGAACTGACTGGAAAGGCAAAACACTAACTGGGAGATCCTGGAAGTGAATCTAGTAGCAGACACCTGTCTGATGCAAAGGGCAAATGAGGTGCCAACATCTGCAAGAACAAGCATTGCCAAGGATGCCACAGAGCATATCAATCACATACAGCACCATTACAAGTCAACTTTTCCTGAATCCCTTCCTCCAAGGTACACTGATGAATCTGACATCAATCATTCTGGCTACTAGTAAGCAATCAATCACTGAGGTAAGTGCAACTTCAGACCTCAAGCATCAAAGCAAGGTCACCAAGAGGTAGCAGAGACCCTGAAAAGCATTAACATACTCAAACACAGTAACACTCCCAATCCACCGATGCCTTTCCGAATGAAATATCATTATTACCCTTCACCTCACCATCCATTTGGGCTGACACGTCTTCAGTATATATTACCTAGTTTCTGAATTGCTCAGCTCCTGCAGGGAGACTGCAAGCTTATCCTCAGGAATGGTGAAAAGTTCACAGTATTACAAAGTAAGAAATAAAATACAATAATAGCAAAAAAAATGCCACAACTGTAAGAGATTACGCAAAAATACATTTCTAATTCTGCTCATGAAGTTTGAAGGCTTAAACAGGCCAAATTTTACTTGAAGGGCTTCTAGAAGCTGTAGCAGCGTAGAAAAATTTAAGTTAAAATAGACTCCATGATATGAGCCTCTGTGTGGTCAGACTTCCATAACTTCCCTGAGGTGTCTAGTATCAAGGTGAGGTCAGCAAGAGGTAGCAGAACAACCGTGGAAGTGCTAATCCTTTTCACATACAAGAACAAGCCCATCCCTAGCAACTGAAGACATCCCTTCCTACTCAAAGTTCAAGGAACCAGTTCTTCAGACTTAAATCTCACTAGAAGGTGAATGTTTCTGATTTAGCCTCAACTTTCCATTTGATTATTATATTTGTAGCTATGTAGAAGGAGCAAGTGTAAAGCAGAAAGAATCATAAGACAACTATCTGACATATCTGATAGATACCAGTGGATCTCTGATTTTCTGTAGAGAGAAAATAGTCTTCTTTCATAGGGAAAAAAAAATCCTGCAGAGGCTGTTCTCTATTGCAGCATTGCTATTATTTTAGAATTTAAGAGATAAGATGAATACAGATAACTCACTATGACAGATCCAACAACTGTTTCACAATTATGTTGGAATGCCTTGTACAAAGGAGTTCGCAAAAGTCCAAAACATTTACAGGAAGCATTATCCCTGAAGACTGCACAGTTGTACATAGTAAGCTACCCAAGGCACCTGGCATCTCTTCTCTCCTACAACAGTGCAACGTTGTGAACAGGTATTGGATTCATGTCAGTCACCACACAGGCTGCCCCACCTGCCAAATCTAATACCTGCTTGATCTCGATCCAGTCTGGTTTTTCTCTTCCCTACTTCTGATGTTATCAAGCACAACCACAACATCTTAGAAATTATTTAAATGCCTCTGTTGGTATGACTGAAAGAATTCTGCTTTAAGAAAAAAAAATCCGAAGCACTCTTAATTCAAAGCCTTATTTTCTGAGTCCTTAAAGGAGGAACATGACTACTTAAAAAGCTATTTTATCTTATTAAAACAAGTAGTGTATACACTTTATCATTATATAAAATTCCAAGTATAAAAGGGAATGATTACACACGTAGCACTACAAAAAGTCAAGGTATGAGTAAAGTTTGGATGTTCATTTTCCCAATTTAATTGTCACAGCTGAAGAGACTAACAGGCCAGATTATCAACTGTTAGCAGATACTCCTACTAGGAAATTTCTGAGATTTCATGTATACAAGGCATACTGAAAATATATATTTTGAGAAGTGAGAGATGTAAGTAATTCTCGATAATGTAATAAAAGGACTGCAGAAAACAGATGGATCATTCTCAACATACAAAAAACAAGTTAATTTGTTGAGAAGCTGGGTCATACACAGGACACCATCCTCTTGGACTGCATCTCTGTTCCTTTTCCCCATCACTTCAATTTCATAAGCTCCTTTTTCACCTCTTTCAGCAGCATGTGAAAAACAATCTAATAAACTCTCCTTCCTATGTGTAATTATACTTCTTATGGTTTCCCACAGTAGCTTCCACTTCTCTCAACACCAGCATGACACTTTGTACCTATAAGCTTCATCAAGCAGATAAGGAAATGGGACAGGCCATCACAGGAACATCCACTGCTTCAACAGATACTGTTAGATATTGTTTTACACTTAGATGTTGATTTACAGCTCAAATTCAGCCAAAGTTTTTTTTAAGTCACTTTTTTCTTGGGACACACAAAGTTCAGGTCCAAAGACCTCCTGGTTTTCCACAGTCTGACCTGAACAGTTGCAATTTTTTGCACTCGTTGTGCAGCAAAAATAGAGGTTCAGGACTCATGCTAGCATGTTTAATTAGGCACAATACCATGCATCTTTTCCAAGCTATAAAATCACTGAAAATTACATTTTCCAAGATCCTCCTACGTTGTCACTAAATAAACACCATGGGTAAAGTTCTTTTCCTTTCTCTACTATCCTATATCTGATCAAGAACTCGGTACATCCTCTTCTTCAAATTCACCCTTGCATCAGGCACCCACAACCTTTCTTTGCTGTGCCTCAGAGTACTGCAGGGTTTATCCATAAAAGGAGAAAAAAACATGTCTTGACATCCAGTAGGAAAAAAAAAAAATCAACAAAAATCCTGGAACAGTGGAAGAATACTAGGGGTATTAGAGCATGTTCCCAGTTACTAGAAATGCAGGGCTACAGACAACTACTAGGGCTATAGGCATGTTTCCTATTATCAGATAGAGCAGATCCTCACAATCCTTTTTCAATTTCCAGTTATCCACAGAACAGCTGAG